TGTCATGGGTGTCCCGGCCCATGATGCTCGAGACTTTGAAGTTGCAAACGCTCTGTCCCTTCCCATCACGCGTGTCATTGATGCCCCTGAATCGACGGCGAGTGCTGAGCTACCCTACGAGAAGCTGAAGGACACCTGATAGATTCTGGCGAATTGACGGGCCTTGACGTCGCCACGGCACGACAGCGTTGCATAGGGCTTCTTGAAAGCCGAAATGCAGGTCGTTCAACCAGTGTCACGCGCCTTCGGGACTGGCTCGTATCTCGGCAGCGCTACTGGGGAACCCCAGTTCCCATCGTGCACTGTGCGAAATGCGGCCCAGTGGCCGTTCCAGAAGCAGAACTACCCGTTGAACTGCCGGAGGTAAGCGATTCATGACTGTCTCTTTCTTCCCTCCCGATACGGTCCTCCAGTTCGTCGTTGCTTGAGCTCGCAATGCACCTCTGTCCTTTTGATTGCATGAACTTCTGGCATACCCTGTGGTCTAGTCGAGTACAGTGCAGTTGCGTGGCGCCGCAGGATCACCGCTGGCCTCGGCCGAGGGATGGCTACACACCACCTGTCCCCAGTGCGGCGGTGCTGCTCAGCGAGACGGTGATACATTGGACACCTTTGTCGATTCCTCGTGGTATTACCTGCGCTACGCTGACCCCCATAACGCAACGCAGCTGTGCACGAAGCAGTTGGCTCAAGGTACGTTGCCCGGCCTAGCGTTTTTTGCTCAGCGCTTTTTTTTTTTTTACTTGTCGTTTGCCCACGGCTTTGTGGCTGATCGGGTCTGATATCTCTCATCTATGCTTGGCGGGCCGCTTCCATACCGATATTAGCAATGCCGGTTGACACGTACATTGGTGGTATCGAACATGCAGTGTTGCATCTGCTCTATGCTCGCTTCATCAAGTCAGTACGCGAGTATTCCCGCTTCTGTCAGATTGCGGTCCAAGTGGACACCCAGTGGCCACCTCGTCTCACCAAACTACATTAATCTCCTGGGCTCCGGGCATGTCACGGTGCCATGCGGCATCTTCTATTGTAGTATGTTTCTTCACGACTGCGGTATTTCAACAGTGGAGGAGCCGTTCAAGCGGCTTCTCACCCAGGTATGCCCACCTTAGCTGCGGTGGCTCGCGGGCACTTGTAAAGGTGCTCTTACGGTCAAGACCGGCAACACATAGGGCATGGTGCATGGGCAGACATACAAATCAAGTATTGATGGCCGATACCTGAAAGCTCACGAGTGGGAATGGCGCGAAGCCGCTGATGGCCCGATCGCCACCGAGCTTGCCACGGGCTTGCCAGCTTTGGTTGAATGGGAAAAAATGTCCAAGGTACGGGCATTTCTGAGATCACCTTTGATGTTATCGCCTCCCGTCGTGACTGTTGTGCTCACATCGCAGCGGCTTTGTTGCTCCATGTCACACGGCACAGTCCAAATACAACGGCGTGGCCCCGGACGATGTGATCGCGGCTTATGGGTGTGATGCTACTCGCCTCTTTGTCTTGTTTCGAGCACCCCCCGAGGCGGTCCTCGAGTGGGACGAGCAGCACATTCAAGTGAGTCGATCGTCGACAGCAATCCGGCTTCTCTTTCTACCTGTCAAACACTGCATGGCATTGGGTGGCGACTGCTGATCAAGTGTGCCCGACTTAATCAGGGCGTTGCGCGATGGATCACCCGTCTTTTTGAGCTGACTGACAAGCTGCAAACATCCATTGCGCAATCGGGCGTTTCCACCGAGGTCGGTGACATGCTCAACAAGATTGTGGTCTCCCGCTCAAATTCATGCACCGTCGCGCATGGTGATCTGACTGGACATCTTCCGATTGCACAGCCCATGCCTGCTGTCAGTCGCAAGCTTCATGCCGCCATTGAGAGATGCAATCATGTATTCGAGTTGGTTGTCGCTGTTATCATCTGCCGCCAGGGGGTTCTGATACTGGTCTCGCTCACCGTCTCACTATGGTCCGCGGCCATTATCGAACTTGCAGAGAATCATTCGCTTTCAATACAGCAGTGGCAGCTCTCATGTCGCTCTCCAATGAGCTACGTGAGGCTGCGCAGGCTGATGGCCCAGTATCAATGAGCGTGCTGGGTAAGCTCTGACGCACCTGTGCCTGTGCTGCTCCCCATGCATTGTCTAAATCGGCTTGATGCTGTCCGACTTTTGCCCAGATGCCACCCGGAGCTTGCTAGTCATGTTGGCCCCCATGGGACCATACACGGCCTGTGAACTCTTTGACAGACTGACCGTCTTTCCGAGCGTCGACTTTGATACCAAGGTTTGTGCAGCTTTCACCATTTGCTTCTTAAAGGTCTCTTCTGCATTTGTCATCGTCAAGGGTTCATTTACTTGGCGAACTTTTTTTTTTGCAGAAGGATTGCCTGTCGCAGCGTTGGCCTCGCGTGGGCACAGAAAGGCACGAGGAGGACGAGGTTGAGGTTGTCGTGCAGGTACGATCACCCAGGCTCACTTACGAGCACCTGGTTTCCGGGTTTAGCACAGCTTGACATCGATTGCTCGGCTTTTGAAATTTGATTTTCTTATAGATTCAGGGCAAGACGCGAGGCAAGCTGCGGGTGCCGCGCGGTGATGAGACCAATGCCGATCTTCTCATCCAATACTTGCTCGAGTCTGATGTGGGCCAACGCCACGTGGGCGACGCAAGTCGGTGTGTACCACTGGCAGCTCACCTAGTCTTGAATTATGGCGCATTCTCATTGCTGGTTGCATCTTTTTTGTTAGTATTAACAAGGCCATCCTTCCGCCAAACCGTCAGTTGCTCAGCGTTGTTTTGCACAAGAGCTGAGCATCTGGTCTCAAGCTCAAGTGCGGGGCGGCACCGCGGCTTTAAGGCAGGAAATCGACAAGAAATAAAGAGTCCGAACAGATCTCAATTGAAACACAATAAAAAGCCGAAAGCATTCCACGCGCCTTGCCAACCAGACCCAACGAAAGGCACCCTAGACTCCTATTTTGAAAAGGAGGACTCCAAAAATGAAAGAAAATTAAAACCAAGCAATTGACAGTCTATGCGTCGGCTTCTCCATCGACGGGTGCCACGCAAAAGGCCGGGATGCGGCCATACAAATCATCACACCGGCCCAGATAATCGACGCCGTCTTCGCCAGAAACCATGACGACGTCACCCTGTACAAATGCAAAGCAAATCAGGGCCAGGCAGCAGACATCAGGTGAGCCATTGCACCAGGCCTGGACCCTCTGCGTGATACCATCCCTGCACAGCAGCAAACTATGCGAGCAAGCGCAAGCCAAGGCCACATACCTCCTCAAGAACCAGATAGGTTTCGTCACCACCTCCAAAGCCTTGAATGACAACAAACTCGACCTCTTCTGCGTACAAGACCATGTCGTCGCTTGCCAGTCCTTGCCAACGCTGGCGCTTGGAAGCAAACTGCAACTCACCCATGCCTGGGTCTTCCTCCTCGTCCTCATCAGAGACAAGACCGGACAGGTCCAAAACCTGCTCAGGCATCAGCGAGACGACCTTGGAGGGCGCAGCCACCCCCAGGAGAGCGTGGCTGCTGCCTGATTTGGACGTGAGCTCACTTCTCAACTCGGCCAAGGCCACCTTCGTCTCGACCAACTCAGCAGTCGTTTGCTTCTCCGACAGGCGTGCTTCCTCCAGCTCCCTCAGCTTGGCCGCCAAGACCGCCTCAAGCTGCTGAACGCGTTGCGCGAGCAATTGCTCACTTTGCTGAACGTTGTCATTGCGCGCACGCAACAAGGCCTCGGCTTGGCGCACCGTGTCCAACTCGGCCTCGAGAGCTTCGATGCGCGCCTGACTGCGGGCCAGCTGATGATTGACAGACTGCATCTCCGATGTTGGAGACTCGCCGCTGCCACCGCGCTTGCGCAATTGCTGGTTATCAGCTGCCAGCTCATGCTCGCGCTCTTGACTTGCCCGCAGTGCTTTGCGCAGAGATTCCAACTCTGCCTGGTGCGCTGCCTGTTGCTGAGCGGCTCGCTCCTCGGCCCGGCTCAATAGCTGACGCAAAGTGGTGGCATCCTCATCCAGGGCAGATTCCAGCTTGGGGTCGGAGCTCGGAGCTTCCCCAGGTGTCTGCTCAAGGTGCTCTACGCTTACCACGGGGTCAGCAGCAAATTCGTTGTGTCGATCAACAACCCTCCACGCGCCCTGAATAGCGTTTGGCAAACCTAAGCGGGGAAAGGAAGGAAAATACAAAACAAAACAAAACAACACAGAAACACAAATTAGATTTTCAGCAGTCAAGCGCATATTGCCTGAGCTTTGATGCAAAAGCGACCAACTTGGGCTGGAAGTGTGTCCATAAGCCACCGTCCCGGTCTGTGAAAGCCAAAGAACCCAGTTGTTGCTCGCGGCATCGAAAAACATGAAGACGTGCTGTCCTGCCATGTGGCCGTGGCTTTTGCCGACGACATACCTACACACCAATCACGACAGAAGCAAAGAAAGCGGCGGGCAACATGAAGGGGACCCCAGAAGCGCTATGGTTGATTTGACAGAACACAGCTGGCACCCAGGTCAACTTACTGGCTCCGAAAAATGGGTTGGTCGCCATGGTTGCTTTCGAGCTCCACGTAAACACCATTGAGCAGGGTCAAGTAGTCGGTGCGTCCGGTTAACTGCAACGCCACACCATTTGGTCGTGGAGACGCGTTTAGAAAGCTGGCATCCGGGGCTTCAAAACGCGGGACGGGTGCACCACTAGTTCTCGTCGGTCCGCCACTATCGCTAGCCGAGCCAAGACTGCTGCGCGAGCCCTTCTTATCGCGGCGGGAAATTTTGCGCAGGGATTCCATGGCGCGTGAGCCCCAGGTTCGTCGTCGCGTGCCTCGATCCTCACCGCTGTCAACGGCTTCCTCCTGGTCGCTAGCTCCGAGGACGGAGATGTCGCTGGCGGTGCGAGAGGTGGGTGCAGAGGACAACATGGAGATCTTAGAGCCTGTGCCTTTCCGTTTCTCCATACCGAGATGCTGGGCTTTGGTCGCCTCGGCCTGAAGCTCTTCATTGGACGCATCATCACGAGGCACAAAGTTCGTAAGAAAAAGGGATGAGTGACAAAAAGCACTGTTGCGCATGTTGGGTGGCTTGCGCAGTTCGTCGAGGGCATAGACCAAGCCGTTGCAAGGTGAGAAGCTCTCGCGGCCGATGGAAACCATCTTTTGGCCCGCTTGAATGGGATAATATTGCACCTTGCCGGTACCATCCATGACACAGAGGGTGCGTTTCATGCCCTCCCGCGCAACGAGGAAACGCCCTTGTGCATCTTCCTGTCCTAGCGCTCTGAGGCGCTTCGCGGCCTCGCTCCGAGTACATGCATGCAGCCAGATTGGTTTGGAGGTGTGGGTCAGCTTTTTGATCTGTCCCTGGGCTGAGGTCATTGCACGAGGATTGCTATCCGCCTCATTTTCATCAGCGTCGTCGTCGATATCGGCATGACTACCAGCATCGGCATCAACCACTTCACTTGCACGTGTCGCAGCTGACGCTTTGTCAGCAGGGCGTGCTTCATCATCCATCCGAGCCGTGGCAGTCGCGGAGTTGGCAGTCGCGGCAAGCACAGACGGCAGCACAGCGTCCTGCGACCGGGGCACCAGGGATGTGCCCAAAGGCGGTGTTTGGTCAGCGTTGGTGGGCTGCGCCGTTGGCACCGATGGCGCCTGGGAGGATGTGGATTGTTGTTTGTCACGCATGTTTCGACGACCATCTCGATAAAAGGTGCAGGCACAAAGGATGGTTGAATAGCAAAACTCGTACTGCTCTTGCGTTTGCACGAGGTATCGTCGGAAGGTACGCATGCGACGCACGGTTGCAAGCACGTCAATCGTGTGCTTCCCACCCTTGTCAACATAGGGCAGGTATGTGAGAACTGAGTAGATGAGGATGAAGACGCCGGTACGCCCGACCCCAGCGCTGCAGTGTACCACCAAGGGCGGCGCAAACTTTTCACCCTGCTTTTTGGCTTGAGCATGCGCGGCGTTTTGAGTGGCCATGGCAAGGTGTAAGAAGTTGAGAAAGCTAACGACAGTGCGCGGCACGCCGCGGTCGGGCCAGGCGATATAGTGGAGTTGCGTCACAGTCATGTCTAGGCCTGGTTGATTGGCGACCGAGATGGTGAAGACGCGCTTCACCCAAGCAGATGCCGTTGACTCTTCCACGTTGGTCACAGTGGCACCTGGGCCCGTGCCATCGGCAGGGAAGGACAGGCTCTGACCAGCATCCGGCCAGTACTGATCACACTTGGTTCGGCCACTCTCGACCACGTTTGTGACCATGACAACGACACGGCTCCTCTTCTGCTCGAACGTTTGAAAGGATGAGAATCAAGCCCAAATCAACACACGCCCCAAACCAAAAAAAAACAAAAACCAAAAACCAAAAAAACAAAAAACAAAAACTAAAACAAAAACAATCAACACAAGCGCAAGAATGATAAACACAGGTGCGGTCGGCAAAATGACAAGTGATGGGCTGGACACCATCTTATTGTGCTTGGAGGCTAGGATGGGCTTGGTGGCTGCCTGACTCATGTGTTCAGAGTATCACAGGACGAGGATGGAAGCTTACCTCGATGATCATTTGCCAGAAGGCGTGACGACTGGTGGGGAGTGGTCCTTGGGCGGCGATAAAAGGCGGTGACCCGCTGAGAAGGCCGGTGATGTGGCTTGCATTGATATAGGACTCGCTTACACTGGCGCTTTCCCCTCCCAACTTGACACGAGTTTGATCGTAGGGAATAATGTCATTGTAGCGGTTGAGGGCCGAGCACTGGCGGCCAGCCCGAGTGACGTCGGGTTGAAAGCGAGCACGATCTTCTTGATCAAGAAGATAAAACTCTTTGGCAAAGCCACTGACGCCAGAGTCTGATTTGCGGCCCAAGAGCTCGATTCGTGTTTTGAGCGCCTTGATAGCAGCATCAAGAGGGCCTGCCTCATCCGCTGCCTCCTGCACGGGGGGTTGCGCAAGGCGTTGGGCCACACCGGTATTGCTGAAGGGTCGCGGGCGGGCCCTTGGCACGTCGGGTGTACTACCGGATGGTAGGACAGGCGCTACACTTGTTGGTATGGGCGAAGAGGCTGGTGAGGAAGAGGTCGGTGAAGAGGCCATCACTTGTGTTGATGGCACCGGTGGAGATGGTTCCTGGGATGATGCGTCTGGGGCATCCTGCAAGGGCCTTGGAGCTGTCGACGCGGGGAGCGTTTTATTATTAATGCCAGTGGGGGCAACGAGTGATTCGACAATTTCTTCATCGTCACTCTGGGGAGAGGCGCGAGCTGCACGGGCTGCACGGCGTTCAGCCAAGCGTCGCAGGCGCTCTTGCCGATCATCTACAACTTTATCGTCTGACGCAGCGGTGGGTGCAGGGGCAGCGGAGGCGGGCACCGTCGCGGATGCGGGTGCGGGCAGCGGAGCGGGGCCACGTGCTTGTGCTTGTGCTTGTTGGCTGCGGCGTTCACGCAGACGCGCCAGACGCTCTGCTCGGCTGAGTGTTCTTTCATCTTCTGGCGCGGCTGGCTGATCTCCGGACCTAGCAACATACACGAACCAAAGAGCATGATTGGTCAGCCAAACAGTCCACTGACACCACATAAGCAGTGCACAACAGCCAGTGTACATGTCGGCGGGGCGAGTGGTACAAAAGCGCGTACATGTCATCAACAGAGCCCTCGGAAATTGTCACCATGTTGTCGAGATGATTGTTGTGTGAGCTATCAGTACTGTTTTCAGCAGCACGCTCCTCCCGCCGGCGCCGGGCTTCTTGTAGCTTGCGTAAACGTTCTTGACGTTGAGCCTGTCGTAGCTGCTCGGCAACGCGAGCCTCCTCTGCCTTGCGCGCCTCTTCGGCTTCAAAGGCCACGCGTTCCTCACATTGGACGCCAGGAGGCAGGGATGCCTCCATCACTTGCCATCGATCCTCCAGCATTCGGCGGCGCTCGGCAGGCTACGCAGCGTTGGATTGGTAGCGCACAAAGAGCGATGTGCGATGAACGACGAGAGAGACAGAGAGAGACAGAGGGAGCATGTGTTTGTGAAAGGGGCAGGAATTGCCTTCTCTTCATACCTCTTCTTTCTCCCATTCAGTTTGGGAGAGCTCAGGATTAAATTCTCCACAGCGATCATAGTCATATGAGGCATACGTGTCAAACTCGCGAATGGCCTGCAAGTTGAACGATAGACGACGTGGCGCGTCTGGATCCACCGCCACGGGTTCGGGCTCGTGCGGGTCTTGATCCTCGGGCTTTTGAACGTGGGTTACGACGAGCGAGGGCACAGTGTGCGCCAGGAGGGCAGGCATGAGTGAGGCACACAGTGCAAGCAAAAATCCCGCGGCAGATATGCAAGGAAAGCCATGCTGGGCATACCGGGGTGAAAGACTTGGTTTTGAGATTGAAGCTCGCCAGAGATTTGACAAAAGTGCCGGGAAAGGAGCCCGTTCGACCGTCGATTTCGCCCTCCCACCAAGAGTCTGGGCCATCACCTTGATCTGTTACGGCAATGACGGCCCCTGCCTCGAATTGAAGGTCCTCTGGATCATCCGATTGGTAGGCGGCAAGGGCCCTAAACAGCTGAGGGGTGGTCATGTCGGCGACTGAGACAGAACCCGACCCGTCAACACTCGCCAATGATTCAGATCCCTGCTTGGTGAGTGAGACGGGTTTGGTGAGTTGTCTTCTTCTACAGCAATCTTGAAACGCTGTCCCTTCTCACTTTTAGCCCAGCCAGCAGCCAGCAGCCAGTAGAGCGCCCAGCTCAAGTCACAGCCACCAACAAAATCGTGTGGCTGCTAAAATGGTGTGTGTGTGTGTGTGTGTGTGTGTGTGTGTGTGGTGCACGAGCTGAAGAGAGAGAGAGACAAAAACAAGAGAGCAACAACAACAAAGTTTTGCACTGCCACAGACAGACACAAAAGCGACGCACAAAAGCGGGAATGCTGACATTGAAGGGTGTGTTGCAGACAGTATGAGGATCTCGGCGAGTTGGAATGTGGGAAGTGACAGCGGACAGGGCTAGGATGGTTGATGGGCAGCTCAACTGGTGAATGTTTCAATTTGGTGTAAAATACAAAACGGTCTAGGTTTTACCTGCCCAACGGACCGGACCTGCTTGTGCGCACAGCGCCAGCAGATCGAAACACAACACAGAGACTCAAACTAAAGAGGGCGGTTCAAAAGACTCGGTCCATGCCGCCTCTTGCCTTTTGGGATCAGGCATCGAACATGGACGCGATGGCCTAGCAAGAATAACCTTGGGCATTGCAAACCAGCTCTTGCACCAGGGCATAGACCACAAAGACCACGTAAAGCACGGCAAATACGATGCCAATCTTGGGGGTCAGCTGGAACTTGTTCATGCCAAGCACGAGCCACACCAACATCAATACCCCCAGAAGCAGGAAGCCAAACTAAAAAGTGACAAGAGTCCAGATTTGAGTTTTGCGAGGTAGTGCGGTCAGAAATTGCATTGGGTGTGCAAACAAGTGCGTGCGTATGATGAAAACAGATGGAAGAACCTTGGTCTTCCGACAAAAGCCAAGGCAGAGCGGCTCTCGTCTCACCTTGGCATGGTCGAGCACGGCTATTTGACCCTGATCATAATCACGTCGGACATCGACCTTCAGCAGGTCCACGGCGTGACCATCAATCAGAATCTGGAAGAAGGTGCAGTGACGCAGGCACACCATCCCAAATCAATACGCAGGTCGGCACAATGCACCAGCCCAGCCAAGTTGCAAGATACAGGCGCAGTGTCTGAGTGCCTCGAGGGAAGAAAGTGCAGGCGCATGTCGTACCCGAATCAGAAAGGGAAGACCGAGACCAAGATTGATGTCAAAGACGTTGCTGCCAATGGCATTCGAGACGGCCATGTCACCATAACCATCTTGGGCAACCAGCACCGAGCTGATGGCATCCGGGATACTGCACAAAACAAGAAGAGGCGCCAGTAGCCCAGTCGAATGATGAGCGCAGGACTCGAGATGCGACGCCAGCAGCCATTCCAGACGCGGGAACAATGTGCTCACGCACCTGGTTCCGGCCGCAATGAGCACCAGACCCATGACATAGCTGTCAATCCCAAGCAGACATCCAAGTCGAGCCACACAGAGGACCATGGCAAAGCTCAGAGCTGCGATCCACAGTATGCAAATGCAGAAGCACGAAACATAGTACTTGGCTCCGGGAGGAATGGTGTTTGTGAACATCCACACATAGGGCGCGGCCATGCAAAACCCAATCCAGCGTCCTGCATAGACCAAGCTGCGTTGGCATTGCAAGTCAAGGCAATCCAAAGAAGTCAGCCATGGTGAGACGAAGAAGACTAACATGTAAAAAAAAGAGAAAAAAAGAAGAAGAAAAAAAGAAAGAGAATCGAGAGACACGAGCAGGAGCAGGAGCAAGAGGAAAAGGAAAAGAGGGGGAAAACAATCTTGTCAGCGGGCATGGTCACAGGCACACTAGTCTTGGCGGATAGGCTAACCGCTGCCAAAGCGTGTGCACCTCGCCTTCTAGCGGTTCTGGACGAGGTCCACCAAGGCATGGGTAGCATAGGCGGGCCGAGCACGAAGCCGGGCCATCATCGTCGTCGTTCTTCTCCTGCTCAATCGGTGTGACGTTGATCGTGCTCCCTCGGGGTGTTGCAGTTCCCAGGCCAAGAGCAGCCTCTGATTCAGGCTTAGACTGATGCTTAGCGGGGGACTCAGACTTGGACAAAGGTGAATCCGGTTGTGATGCAACGGCAGGCGACTGCTTGCTGGGGTGTGGGCTGATGGCTGGCAGTGGCGGGCGAACGAGTGGTGGAACTTGCTCAGTTGAGGCAATGGAGCTACGATGGCTGAATGCCGATTGCGCGCCCTAGGGGAGTAGACCGATTCAAGCGGTGATCGTAAGCACAGCAGGACGGCGCAAATGGTTGTTGGGCAGCAAGTCCCACACAAAAGTTTGTGCAAACAAAACAGCGCTTGCGTACCAAGGAGCCTCGCGCAGGGCACCCCTCGAGAGCAGCCGTGAGTCGACCGCGTAATAAATGCTGAAAGGACGCAACGCTCCTGTCGTGATGAAGACAGGCACAAAGTCACACATGATGCTGGGCATCTTCTCTTGCCCTGAGGCTGAGGGAGGACACGGGCGCACAGGAGGGCGGCCAAGCAAGCTTTGGTATTCATACCCGCGGTTGCTCTTGGCAAGGGCCAACTCGTGAAGGTCACTGGTCTCGGTTCCCGCGTCAGCACCCATGTCTGGGTTGGGGACTTTGCTTGTCACGGATGGGGTGCTTGAGGCTTCAAGAATGACTTGTGGAAGCACTCTGTTGCTCCTCGATCGGCAGCAGCGCGCATACAGCTGAGCGAAATGCTGTTCATCACACACACCGGCATGGGTACACGTACGACAACCACAGACCCAAAATGATGAGCAATTGCTAGAAGGCAAAGAGGAAGGACAAAAGCACCCAGCTTTACAGTCAAAAGCACATACGTCCTGCAATGCCAAATAGCAGAGGTATGCGGCATAGAGTACGAGAAGCACGACAGCCTCGTGGAGCTGCGCACACGGGCAAAGAGACGCAGGGCGTGAAAAAAAAGTGATCCACAGACGCGAGGCTTGTCGCTTGCAACTCGACATAATTCTCAGTTGGATACCTTGAAATACCCGTCCCAGACGAAGGCAATGAAGAGGGCAATCGAAAGGGCATAGAAAGCGCTATCGCGTGCTAGGATTCTCCAGCTGAGATGGAGGATGCGGCCACTGAAGGCGGCAGAGAGAGCGACGATGATGAGAATGTTGAAGACGGCCGAGCCGAAGATGGTGCCAACCCCGACGTCAGATTCGACACCGATGGCGGCCAAGGATGTGAAGAGCTCAGGGGCTGAGGAACCGGCTGCCATAAAGCTGGCACCTGCCACGTCTTCAGGCAGGTGGAGCGCTTCACAGATGCCTTCGAGCGAGGGGACAAAATAGTCATCGCAGACGATGGCCAGGCCGTAAAAAAGGCTGAGAATGACCAACAGGTAGACGATGACAAAAAGGGCATTCGAGATGTCACGCTCAGCATCGCACTGTTCCCACCTCGGGCCTTGTTCCTGGCTCATGAGGTGGCGCGCTATTCCTGAGGTCTCCGCAGTGTTGGATGCATGCAGCATGGACAGCGCCAGACACACGCACAGCGCGAAGATGGCCATGGCACCGACCCGCAGCGGGCGACGCACAGGCCTAAGCATGGCGAATGGTGTCTAAGTCGCCAACTGGTCAGGGCCGAACGCGCTCACAACGTACTTCGTCAGCTACACAGAATTCAAAAAGAAAAAAAAAAAAAAAGGAAAAAAAAGAACAAGAGGGTAGGGTCAACAGGCGCTGAGGAGGCAGGTTTGGAATCTGAATGAACGGACGGACACAAGGGCACGGGCACTCGATCAGCGCCGATTTCAAGCGGGAGGAGAGCTTTTGACGTGCAGAGTGAATTGGAAAGACAAACATGCGAAGGATGACTTTCCCGTGTTATGTCCATGTGCGGCTTGCTTGTGTCTGCCCCAACCGCATTGGCTGTTGGAGGTGAGGTCAAGGCCAGGGGTGTCGTTCTGGGGAAAACCACTCACCAATGAGATGAGAGATGCGGCAGCAGCTCGTGGGAAACGTGAAATGAAGCACGTTTTTTATGGTGTGCCTTGCCCGAGAGGCAATCGAACCATGTGAGCCGCCGACGTCTGCACCAGATGAAGCAAATGGCTGGCATGATGGAGCGTCAAGAGAGAGGGTTGGGGCTGAGGTGACTGGGTAGAGGTTGTTACGAGAAGGCCAGTTGATTGATGAAACTTCCAAGGGCAATCAGGTGGCATTCAGAGGGTTGATATAGGCAGGCATGGGGCTGCAGAGGTAGAGACGAAGAGCAGTCAAGTTTTCAAGGTTGGCAGGACAATTCGGGGCAGGTAGGGCCCGAATTATGACAAAGCGGAGCGCTCTGTCATGAATCAGGACACATAATGACCATTTGTCAGAAAGATATACTTTGGAAGGTAATTTTTATAATAAAGAGGGGGCTTCTCTTGGCAACCAGGCCATCTCGTTGCTTCTCTTCACCCAGCCCTGTGTCGACACCCATCTCTGATTTTGCTTCTCATTCGGTCACGCTGCGATTGTCACCGAACCCCCCTCTCTCGCGGTTCCATCCCCAACCTCCATCATCTCTGACCACCAGCTTTTAGTGCTCCAGCTTTTGACCCGAGTCCCTTTTCCTGCCCTGTTGGTGTGTTCTTTTCAAGCCTTCTCAGCAACACGCATCGACTGGCTGGCCGGGCCTGGTTGCTTCTTGATGGCCTTTTCAACTTGTTACAAACTTGCACCGAACGACAGGGCTGAAACTCTATCGACGCGCAGGTGCTCACTGCCGCAATGCTGAGTTGAGCACGGCCTGCGTCAAGGACTCAAGGCTTGCTAGCACCTGTGACGCCTCTTCAAGTAGTCGATCCCTTGCTCGCCAGTCTTTGGTGTGTCGCAGGGCACTTGCTGTGTCTCACGACATAGACACAGGCAGCCGCAATCATGGCCACTTCGGCTTTGGATATTCTGCGACGGGACGTTTCGCGCGAGCGACGCATAAGCAGCGCCCGAGGTTCTGCCAGCTCTGCTGGAACTGGCGTGACCACAACTGCTTCGATTCGCACGAGTCGCCGTGGGCCCACCAAGTATGCATGCGTTCCTTCTTGCAGGCAATGCCGGCCAGCAGCTCGCTTTTACCTTGGCTGCAGCAGCTTGTTTGGCTGGCGTGCGGTTCTCACGCATGTCGGTCGCTGTGCTTTCCATAGGCGTGATCGCTACGTTCAACAGCTTCTGCGCCACAACGATGCGGTAGGTCGGATTGGTCCGACTTGTGTGTGTGTGTGTGTGACTCTTTATTCAATCGCAACAATCCAACCTGACCTCGACCTGGTGCTGGTTTTGCTGCTAAAGTATCCCGTCCGACTGCGCATCCGCCTCGAGTTTGAGGTGCCGGCTGGTGAGTGTGCCGCGTGCGTGGGTCCTTCTTACTTTCTTCCTCCTCCAAGTCCTGCTCACCGCTACCTCGTCCTGATGCAGCGGCCCCCGATGAGCTCGAGCAGGCAGACGCCGACTTGGCCAATGACCGTGAGTAGCCAGTCCATACCCACTGGCGCGCGCGCGCGTGTGTGGTTGTGCTGCGTTGCGTCGAGAACGTGTCTCCAAGCCGCTCATGTTTCTGCTACTCACGTCAATGCTCGACGTTAGCCGCTGGTTTGGATGCAACGGCCTGGCGACGCCGGTCAACCCTCTATGCCTTCGACGAGGCTCAGCCGGGTGCGTCTTTACAGAACAGAAACCAATCTTTAGTTTTTATTCGCAGCTCTACATTGGCTTGCCTGACTGATGCGCGTGCCTCTGGGTGTGCTGGACAGGTCGTGATTCGGTCATGTCCATGGCTCCCTCTGGCGGGGGTGCCGCCGGTGGCAAGCCCAATCGCTTGACATCCCGGTCCAGTTACATTCACTATGAGTTCACTGCACCTCACGACGAGCGTCCCACCAAAGCCGACGTCGTTGTTCATTTCAACGGCGCGAAAGCATTTTCTGACAACGAGGCCCGCACTGCCGGGTTTACCCGCCTGCCTGGCGATCAAGTTTTGCGCGCCTATTGGGAACACCATTTTGACATGGCAGTCACACCCGCACTCATCGAAGAGCTGTACCGCGATGGCCTCTCTTTCAAAATCTGGGACACCCGCGATAAAGTGGCCTCGCGGGCTCGTTTCGATCGTCCACGCGGTGGTGGCCAATCTCACATGCACGGAACCTTGCAGCGCATCCAAGAGCACCGCACACCTGGCCCACAAGAGAGGAGTGGAGACCCCACCTCTGCCGCCAACCTCACCGCTTCTGCCGCGGCCAAGCTCACGTCGGCATCTGCTCTCTCAGCCCTTGACCGTACGTGCTCGCCCATATTATTTGTAGAGAATTTCTTTCATTTTTTTTCTTTTTTTCCCAGCCACACCATCAGTCGACAAGCTTGCGTCCCCTGCGCCAGCCAAGTGGCTGTGGGCCATTTAGCTTCGTTGCAGGGTGCAAGCTCCCAGCGGCCCTCGCTATGACCAGCACTGCACAGCGCTCATGTAACGCCATGCCTGCTGGTATGGTTCTTTTGCAGTGAAGCGAGCGCCGCGCAACATGGCCAGTGAGGATGGTTCAGGCGCATTGCTATGGGTTGACCTTTCCACACTTTTTGGTGGCGAGCTGAGCACTGAGACTATTCTCGAGGATATTGACGAGACTGGTCTCAAGCGGCTGCTCAGCCTGCGCGTGCGTGTGAGCGTGGACCAACCCATCCTCAACCCAGAGCAAACAGTTCTGATGAACCCTTTAACCTTCACTGTCAAGCACGCGGGTGACCTGCCGCGTTCCCCCACCCCCTTCAGTGAACTGGACCGACGCTGTCGGCCAACTTCCCTGAAGTTTCGCTTCTTCGGCCAACAGCGATGGCAGTCCTGGACGTGCGATGGTCCCCATGGCCCTACGGCCGTGTGGGAGCGCAGCTTTGTGGTTCTAACCGGGCTATTGGATCGCTCCGACTTTGCCGATTGTGAGTATCAATTCCCGCTTTGTTGGCCTCGGTCATGCTCACAGGCAATCCCTCGAGAACAATTGAGGTCAAAGGGACGCTTGATCCTAATCCGTTGAATGTGCCTGTAGGGCTGGTCAATGGCGGTGGACTCAAGCTTCAAGTGCATGATCGTGATCGCTTGCCCAAGCCTGGTTGGGACGGTGGCATTGAGGACGAAGACTTTAGTGACTACAATGCTGTCGGCCGAAAGCTCAAATCGGCCGAGCAGGCAGCATCAGAGCTGTGGGATCCGTACGGCGTTGCTTCAGTCGACCTCTCCCCCATCATGCATGGCACGTTGGCGTGCTCATCCTGCTCTGCCCGTGCATTTGTCTCTTTACCACGTGTGCTCATCCACATGGATTTTTTTTTTTTCAAAACATTTAGGCGTCAAACAATTACAATTGACAGTCCCTGTCTTGCCGTGCGAGGAGCGTGGTAAGAACTGCGAGCGTTGCCGAGAACGATTGAGCTCTACGCCTTAGCCTCGTCTTCTGGACGCCCCATGAATCACAACTCATCACTGCCTTGCTTTGCAGAGCGCGCCCAGTTCTCGGAGACTGGGCAGCAGCAGGAGAGTGCTATGCATCCAGGACATTACGTGGCAGCAGGTACGAGCACCGTTCAATTGCGGTGCCCGTATACCCATGCGTGTCAGCGCATGCCCTCAAGGATTTATGTGATGCTCAACCTCACTTATTTTCTTGGGTGGCACGTGTAGGAACCTACCTTGATGTATCTGTCAGCTTGGCGCATGCTCGACGTTTTGATGTGGTATGTGCCTCCGCGATCCTTGTTTCAAATGGCAAAAGCACACCGTGCTAGCGCACAGAAAGCCCGCTCAGCACTCAGCTAGATCCATTGTGAACACTCACGACTGCATTGTCTGCAGGATGTGGATATGGACTTTATGCTGGTTCGAACGGGCGTCATGACGGACAAGGAGATTCGCAAGCGTCGTGCCAAGCGGGCCACTATGACGCCCGAGCCGCAGCGCCTGCCCAACCCGATGAGCCCGCGCGCCAACATGAATCGTGCTCGACCCACGGACGACAAGCGAGGTTCATTTATGAATCTGCGTGTGCCCACGGCAACAGGAACTGCGGTACTCAATCAGCGCCGGCGGCCCTTCACTTTACTCGTGGCACGGATGGCACCGCACATGGTTGGCTTTGCGGGCAAACTGCGCTCGGCCGTCATCAAGTGCAACGCGCGGGCCTTGAATGTGTCAGCGCACGACGTCAATGAGCTGAACCTCGTCCTTGGGGCTTATGTGCTTCAGGAGTGGCAGAGTCATGATGTGGACTTGGATCTCATAACGGGGTTTGAATTTGTGCTGCCTGAGGGTCGTCTCATTGTGCTGGAGGGCCTTCTGGATGGTGCCATGTCCACCATCTTGAATCAAGCTGGCTGGCCCGAGGGCGCCACTGTGAAGGATATGCGTATTCTCTTTAATACAAGCGTCACTGCTGCTGAGCGGCGGTACGGCGCCTTGGGTGCCCACCTGCAGCGCATCACGTTGGACAAGTCGATGCACGAGGTTCTGACGCGACAGGAGCTTTATTTTCAAGGCCACGCTCTAAACACGTGCCTGAGTGGCCTCTGTTGTGTTCAGGAGCTGTTTCGCTTGAATCGTCTTGCCGAGGCGCTGCGGTGCGCATACTTTCCATCCGTGCCCTCTCTTCTTGCCATCAAGCACGAGTTGGCTGTTGTGGACGAGCCCATGCGAATGCCCTGGCCCCCAGAGGCAGAGGCAGCAGCAGCCACTGTCGAGGCAACCTCACAGTCATACTTCAGCCCACGACATCGCTCCCGCCAAAAGGCGGCGCTGGACATGGCAGTACCCGTCTCACTGTGTGAGGCGGGGCGATCGGCATCGTCTCCAAATTTTGCGCTTCAAAACCGCACCTCGATCGAGCGCCAGTCACAACGAAACCGTGAAATTCGTGAGCGAGAGCAGGCACAAGGCATGATTTACGATCCTCTCTCAGCCACTATACGCCCTGCCTCACAGCCGGCCGGACAGCATCAAAGTGCCCCCACTTCACGGCCTGCGACGAGCGATCAGGGGACCAGTCAGCACTTGCAGCGTACCCTGCGCGAGGAGCACCGCAAGTCTTGGCGCACCAAGGAGGGGTTCAATACGCTGACCGGTCCGGGCACGGGCAGCGCCCTTCCTGCGCCTTCGCCTGCATCTGCACTGCGAAGTGCTGAACCTTTTGATGAGCGCTTCCTAAACCAGCCAGCCGTGACAACTGGGCGCAGATCCATGCCTTGGCATGAGCGCCATAAGGACATGCAACACGGCCGGCCGACACAGTTGTTCAGCAAGAACGACGCGACGCTGTCGGTCGGAGAGACAGAGGAGGACAAGTGGCTTGCCAAACAGCAGGAGGACGAGCGCTGGCGAGCCAAGCTGGTGGTGACTGATCCCAAGTTCCATGCACACCATCCTGCTCGCCGCACGTCCCAGGTGAGGCTTTGCTGTCATATTGTTGGAATGCGTTTTCTCTCTGTCTCTTTGTGTGTATCCTATCCCTCTCCGTATGTGTGTGTATCCTATCCCTCTCCGTATGTGTGTGTATCCTATCCCTCTCCGTATGTGTGTGTGTGTGTGTGTGTGTGTGTCCGGTGCTCACTTGACGCTGTTCGTGTTATCGTGTGCAGCTGGACCGCCTCAACGACTTGTTGGCGGACCGCCCGCAGCGACGATCACTTCGCTTGAGTTCGACCCAGTTTGCCCAGCCCATTAGCATGGACCTGCATGAACCCTATCACGAGGTACGCAGAGCCATGGTCTGAGTTTGTCTGTTCTTGACGCATGGTTTTGTCGCTCATGGCAGCCGTTTGGGTTGGATTGTGTTTGTGTGTGTGTGTGTGTGTGTGCAGCGCCGAGCGTCGGCCTTGACCCTGGGAGATGACGGCCGTGCCGTCAATGGCCCTGTGCCTATAACCGATTTTGCATAAATACTGCTTGCTCGTGGGGAAGCAAACTCTTTCCTGGTTTTTGTGCTTGCATTGTGTGAGTCCCTGCTGAAGATCTTCCTTCACATGCTGCCATTGTAACTCGACTATGTCCTCAGGCCAGCCAGCCAGCCCCTCAACATCATCATCATTAAATCTTTTAAAGTCATGTCAATCCAAAAAAAGATGACATTTGTCAAATTCAGCACTGGATGCAACCTCCCAACGTGCGTTGTGCGTCGTTGTGGTGCGTTGTAAGCATGATGACATTGTTGTTTGATGCTGCTGTGTCTGTGTCGATCTCAGGCTGACACGTGATTTTGCCAACTTGCACCTGGGGTTGGATTTGCCGCGCTTCAGGCCAGGGTGTGGTAGACAGTCAGCTCGTGTTGTTCACGTTGTCGATGGGACGACGAATAGGAAGAAGGGTGTTTCTTGATCGGTGATTTGGCTTGGCGGTGCTGGCTGGCTGCACAAACGTGAGCAAAGTTGGAGCGAGCTGCGGCACGGACGACCATGGCCGCGGCAGCGCACGCAGACGTCACCGACTGCGTGGTGCCCCCGCGTTCGTGCCCACGGGAGCGCAACCCGTTGCGGGATGCTACACGCGGGCTCTCAGCAGAGCAGTTGCAAACCTTGACCGCATTTCGCGAGCGCTTGAGCGATCTGGCTCCACTCGAGCAGCATTGGGCGGATGACGCCTGTTTGCTGCGTTACCTCCGTGCACGCGACTATGATCTGGACAAAGCAGAGAAGCTCCTGCGCGATACGCTCGAGTGGCGGCAGTCATATGGGATTGAGAGCATCACACCTGATATGATCGACCTAGGTGTGGCTCGATGGATTTGCACGCGTGCTTGTGCTGAGAGCAAGGGCATTGCCAAGGGTTTCTCGCTGCGTTAGGAGGCAGGACCGATACCCACGCAAACATGCTTCGCTCATGACCATCGCTCCCCCCTCACCCTGCCCTTCCTTTTCCATGTAGAGGCGACCAGTGGCAAAAACTACTTACACGGCACGGATAAATTTGGACGTCCAGTCATTTATCAACGACCCCGTCGGCAAAACACGAAGACTTACGATGACCAGGTCAAACAGATGGCTTATCTCCTTGAGCGCAGCGTCAACAGCATGGATGGCAGCAAGTACGCACATACCGCTTGCTTCCATATGGCCACAACCATGTTCAATTCGTTCGCTGGTTGGCTCGACGCATAGCCCGGCGCGACCCTTGATTACCACCACATGAATTCACTCGCGCACTGACTGCCGCTTGGTAGTGGCGTGGAACAACAGGTGCTGTTCATTGACTTCAAGGACTACTCCATCTTCAACGCTCCTCCCATGAAAGTGACCAAGCAGGTTTTATCTTTGCTCATGGACAAGTACCCAGAGCGTCTCGGGGCTGCTTTTTTCGTACGTCTACGCAACCCACGCATGACTGGCTGCATAGCAGCAGTCCTTGTGCAATGTGCAGCCGGCTTGCTTTTCATCGTTCACCTCTTGTCCCTTGGCGCTTCTGTTCTAGGTGGATGCGCCGATGCTGTTTACCACCACCTACAAAGTTCTCAAGCCCTTTATTCCTCCGGTATGCGTGCTAGCCCTGGTGGCATCAGAGTGGTGCATGTGCGGCATCTATGCACTCCAATGCGGCGTGGGCTTTCATTAACTTTGGTTCGGTGAATTTCCGCGTTCTGGTGAGACATAGGCAACCAAGGCCAAGGTCAACTTTGTCAAGCGGTCGGGCACTGGCGGCCGACATGGGCGAATGGACCCACAAATTGCCAAGTACTTTGATGACGATGACTTGGAAGAGGAATATGGAGGCACGCGGTCCAGCAACTATGACCACGAGCGCTACATGGCCTTGGAGCGAGAATATTACCAAGAGCACTTGGCTATGGTTCAACAAGAGCGAGCTGCTTTGCTGGCAGCCGGCAGCACTAGCGACGCGCCCAATCATGATGCTGGCTCAAATGCGCCCTTGGCGCCGCGCACAGTCGGCGGTCTTGGTCTTGATCTTGCATCGTTGCTATCGGAACCGCCTCTGGCCAGAACCCTCGTTTAACGTCCACCTATATTCAGTGTTCCATCGTGCAGGCAGCGCCGCATCACACACATCTCAATTCAAGCCTCTTGAGCAATGTCGCCTTCACCTTTGAAGCTCCTCCCTGAAGCAATGCTCCCAAGGATCCCATCCTACTCGTGTCAATCAAAGCCAGAAATAGTCCCCGAAAGGTGCCTTCACACTTCCTGTCCAAGTCAGCAGACCCTCCACCCCAGTCCACTCGCCTACACACAAAGCGAACCACCGCCACACCGACGCACCGACCCGGTCCCAAGGCCTGAACAGTTTGTGGCTTTCTCCTTCTTGCCTTTTGTTTGTTCGAAATTTGATTTTCTTTTGTTTGTTCGCTCGCTCTCGGAATTCAGATTTCTTTTCTCTTTAATTTTTTTTTTTTCCTCAAGCACGACCAGAGTGATGGCAGCGGTTCCCATGCCTAGCACGATCTCGGCCACTGCGGCACTCATTGACGAGCTTGACAGTAAGTAGGCAATGCTTTTTTTGGTGGTACCGCTGCAAGTCTACGCGCTGCGTTGCTATCAGTCAGCTTGTACTGTCGCGCTTGCATGGGTCCTCGATGCCATGCTCCTCTGGCGCCTTGCGCTTGACGAAGCAATGGTCGACCTCCTTGTGCTCACAAATGGTCGTGCGGGATGGTCTTGCTCGAGTAGAAAAACTTATTTGCGTGCTCCGGGATGGTCGCAAACTGATTGGATATCTGCGCAGCGTCGATCAGTTTGGTTCGTTGATTTGTCCATTCGTTCGTTGAAGCCACTGCAGCACCTCATCTTCTCCCGACTGTCCTGTGGACCCCCTCCCCGGTTCCTGCGGCCCGATGGTACAGCCAACCTGGTGCTTCAAGATACCGTCGAGCGGTACTACGTGGGCAACGAATATGGTGACGTGCCAGTCGGCATCTACATTATTCGCGGCGAGAACGTGGCGCTGCTTGGCGAGATGGTGCGAAGCTTGAGACCGATTCTTGAGGGGCATTTCTCCTGACAATAGTGCACCCAAACTCAAATCACTCGGGGATGCTTTATGCTGATAGGATGCATCAGCTGACCAGAGCCGGTTCTTGAAGCAAGTGGATGCTGAAACGATTTTGCGTAAGCACGCTGAGCTGCCAGATGCCGACAAGCGCCGTACGCAGGGAGGCGACGAGTACGCCGATATGAGCTGATTGGGTGACACTCAAGCCCAAGCAAACGGTTTGAACCTGATGGCAGCCCCCTTTGGGTTTGCTCTTGGTCTCAGTCTTGCCCTCTGCTTTTGACTCTTCCCCCCTCCCTCCCCCTCCTGTTTATTCGCTATGGAAGAGGAGCAAGCAAAAGTCGTGTTTACAATTTGAGTGCCGGCTTGTGCAGGCCTTGAGGACGGAGCGTCTGAGCTCTTGTGTGCGCGTGGACTTGTCTGCTTTTGGTTCTTCGCAAATACATCGTTTCAATGTTGAACAACTTGGAATGAGTTGTTGACAGATTTGCCATGGTTTTTTTTTTCTCTCCTCATTCTTCGAGCTGCAACACCAAGCGCGCGCTGCAGCTGCTTGTTACCGCGGGTGTTGGTGGTTCGTGGCGGGCTGTGCCCATCCATGCCCCCTGCACGCCTCAAACAATTCCATGAGAGTTCAACAAGTTTGATGACAATTTCGCTTTCTACTTCTACTCTCAACCTTGCACGTTGTGCTGCCAGGTCGGCATACTCAGACACACACATGCGCACACGCACGCACGGACACACACACACACGCGAACACGCACACGCATGCACGCACACATGATGATCACCGGACGGGCACGAATCGAACCAAAAGACTGGTGCCAGTGGCAATGTAGCTTGCAGCATTCGCCACCAACGCCAGTATGACAAACTGGACAAGACTGCTGACGGCTAGGCGCACGTCGTGGCCGCCAATGCTCCAGGCAAACAACCCTTCGATAGATTGGAGCTGAACATTTTCATGCTCAGCATCTCGATCCAGCCGTTCCTTGGCCAGGCGCTTTTGTCGCATTTGCACCAGCCGTTCCACACCATTGAGGGCAATGAGCAGGAGCGCTGGGCCGATGAGGATGATGGAGCGCATGGCCCATTGCTTCAGCAGGGCATCCATGAAGAACGCGCAGACCATGACCATCATGATCATGCCCATGGTCAGTCCAGCCGTGGCTACGACCAGAATGAGAAGTGCCAATAATAGGAGGGCCACAGCTCCCATAAATACACTCTACGTCGACACACGTGACCCAGGTCAAGGAGCTGTCAGCTGACACCGTCGGAGAAAGGAAAAGCTTTGTTGGGTGGGGCGCAGACAAGAGGGGCTAACCTTCAGCCCGTGACTCAAGCGGCAAAGCCAGTCAAATTGGGCGGTGAAGACAGCCAGCGGGTCGAGGCCGACCCACTGGCTGACAAAGCTGCGCGGGGCGTAGAGACGATCCACCCGACAAACACTTTGATCAGACTTGATCAGGTGGACCATTGCGCTGTAAAAGCAAATGGTGGCCAGAAGAAATAGACTGAGCTTGAGTAGCCGAGTCGTGCGCTCCTGTCTCTGCTGTTGCAGTGTTGCAAACTCTGTCTCAATCAGGCGATTTGTATCTTCCTGTGGTCGCACCATGGCGAGAGCAAGGACGTGACAAGGCGAACATTGCAAACATAGGCAGTGGGATGAGAAGAGGGTGCTATACGGCATTTGACAGCAACGCATAGCGCAGCGCCTTGATCACGAGCCCTGGGTAAAATGTTGTTTACCTTGATGCGTTGGCGAAGCTTGTTGTGATGGGCCCGTTCTTGCGCCTCATAGTACTTTTGCTGGGCTGCAAATGTCTGCTCCGCTTGCTGGTTTGCTTTGTTCAAGTTGGCCAGCATTTCCTCATGTTGCTCCTGGCGGGCACTTAGTCTACAGTTGGAGCAAAGTCCAGAAACGGTGAGGGGAAGGGGTTTTGCCAGGCTAAAGAACCGGGTGTGTGGTCAGGTCACGAACGTGCGGGCATCACGGGCATCCTGGTGGGCCTCGCGGACGCAGAGGCGAAGCCACTCGTCCTTGGCCTCTGGGGGTAGCGTGCCTATGTATTCTTGAAGTGGCTTTGGGATGTGGCTAACGAGCTGTTGCATCTCCAGATGGCCTGCACCGCCTCTGGTGGTGTTTGTCTCCAGGGGGACCTGACTTTCAGCGCCCGCACTCATGTCGGCTTCGCCCTCGCCGGGATCGCATTGGGCAGCGATGGCCCCCGCGGCAGTGGTCAGCATGGGAAGGCTACGATTTAATGCCGACGGCAGGCGCAGAAAGTCTTGCGCAGCGCGAGCGTTGTCGGGTACGACCCCAAGCCGTTCGCACTCTTCCAAACGCTGGTGTACCTGCTCTCGGTCCCCCGAGGCCAAGGCAGCAGCAAGGGCGCGAGCCTGCTGCGGTGCCAATGCAATTTGGCGTAGTTTTACCAGGAGGGCCTTGGCTTGTTGCAGATTCCGTCCGTGGTGTGATGATCCAAACGCTTTTTTGTCAGGTACTTTTCCTTCAGAATTGGGGTGGGGGCTGCGGGCGCTGCGGGGTGAGCCACTGGCTGCATCAACGCGGTGTTCAAAGGCTTCGACCTGCTGCTCGGCACGGTCCACAGCAGCGAGCAGGTTTTGCTCGCTCAAGCCGGCAGCATCGTTGACAAAAGCGGTCAGGAAGAGGAGCAGCACATCGGCATGAAGCTGGCCAAGGTCGTCCGTAAGCTGATCAAGCGGAGGAAAGGGGAAGACGCTGGCAGTGAGCGCGCGACTCTGTAGGCGGTTGATGTCCTGCCAAAGCTCAGAGATGGTTGTAAAATCATGGCTCTGTATCTGATCACGGTCAGTGAGTAGTGCTGAGCGGCGGAGCTGCAGGATGCGTTGCTGACAGTTTGCCATGGTGTGATCAAGCCAGGCACGAGTGCGCCTGGCAGCTCTTCCTTCCTCAGTGGTGAGCTGGGCCAGAGCAAAGACGACGGCAGCCAAGAGCATGATGGCACCAAGGATGGCCAGAGTGCTGGAGGTGGAGATGGGGGACGCATCGGATGAAGCAGTCAGCATGGTGTCCGGTTGCTTTGCTGGCGTTGGTGGCGCGGCTGGCGCGGCTGGCGCGGCTGGCGCGGCTGGCGCGGCTGGCGCGGCTGGCTGAGTCAACATGGAGGGGCTTGATCGTGAAGCAGGCCTGGGAGGCCTGGGAGGCGTGGGTGTTGAGGGCTGCGGGGCAACAAACGCTTGAAGCTGCTCAGCAGGCTCGGCGGCCGGAGAGGGCATGGTCGCTGAAGGCGGCGAAGGCGGCACAGAGGTATCAAAGCGGGAGGCAGCCAACATCTTTTGAAACTCCGAGCCCGACAATTGGTGCATTGGGTCACGTACGCGCCGAGCCTCGGCCAGGTCAAGCCCCACAAAAACCACGATCAACCACACCAGCAACCATCTCTGCTGCTGCACCGGAGCCAGCCTGCCAGCACGCATGACACCGGTGCCCATCCAGCCACTCAACGGGTCGCTGTACACCAGAGGAGGAGCAGCCACCTTCTCCCCAGAGACTGACGCCGCACTTGAAAGCCCAGACCATTCAAAGTATTTTACTTCTTTTTAATTGCCTCAAAATTTCGCGCCAAAAGAAATGATGACAAGCGTCATGCGGTGAGCGACAACAACAACACGTAGGTTTCATCAAGCCCAGTGCTACCACACGTCATTGTAGCATCGTTTTTTTCTTTTTGTCTTTACACCTCTCTCTGTTTGTGTGTGTGTGTGTGTGTGTGTGTGTGTGTCATTTTGCATTTCAAGGTACTACTGCAAGGCGGAGGGGTGTGAGTGCCCCTTCAGCTGCTGCTGTGCAGTTGTGGTCGAGTGGCAGCCAGATGGCTGGGGTGGGCGGTGGGGTTGTTTTTTGATGCGGCTCTTGTTGTGTATGGGTGTGGATGTGGTACTTGATTGAGAGCTGGTTGGGATGCTGATGCTGTGCTGACCGGGAGATGTGCTTGCACCTGCCACGGGAAAGAACGCTTGGTTGAGTCGGCGCACATGTTGGCACACTTGCTCGCTCACCACACGACTACCCATGATGACTTAGACTCGGTGCGCCTGTTGACCAAACTTGGTCGTCTACCTCTTTCTCGTTGACTTGATTGTCTCCTACAGCAAAGGGCAACATGGCATCTGCTTTGGCTCAGTGCGCCCGCAGCGCTGCGCTGCGTCGTCCGGCCACGGCCATCAAGTCGTGGCAGCAGGTGCGACCGTCCTTGCCAGTGTTGTGTTGACCATGCTCGGGACTTGCCTGCTTCCCAGCTCAGTCTCACCTCAAACTTGTTGCAAACCTAGGCTCGTATGCTCAACCTGCATGAGTACCAGAGCAAGGGTCTCATGCAAGAGTACGACATTGAAGTTCAAAAGTTCTTTGCCACTGATAACGCCGAGAATGCTCTGCAGCTGGCCAAGGAACTGAGTACGTTATTCGCCTTGTGTGGGCTGGCATATGTGAGAAGCATCGTCCGTTTCAACACAAAAACATATGGCTTGCTCCGAAGCAACTGCATTCGACTCTTTGCCTGCAGCATGGTAGTGTGCTAGTGAGTCCAAACACGTGAAAGGACCTTGTGCCAGGTTCTGAGTTGCCAGCCCAGTGCCGCTGCCGCTGCCCACCCACCCTACCTTTTGACCCTCGACGACCATGCAGCCATACATCACTGCAACGTTCTCCATCAAAAGCCACACTCACACTCACACTCACACGCACACTCACACTCACACTCACTCACTCATCATCGCCATCCCTACGTACTTTTCGAGTCGATCCATCGTTTATCTAGTGTACCTATTCCCGTTTCTATCTTTTCTCTCTTCTTCTTTTTTTCTTGAATCGCATCATGTCCCGTTTGACATGACTCGGCTTTTCAAGCCCTCACCCGCCACTATTTTTTTTTTAAAAAAAATCTGTAGACGTGCCTGAGATTGTGCTCAAGGCGCAGGTGCATGCAGGCGGTCGTGGAAAGGGTACCTTTTCCTCCGGCTTGAAGAGCGGCGTTCACCTCATCCCTGGAGATCAACCGGAAAAGGTCAAGGACTTGGTCGAGCAGATGATTGGCTACAACCTTGTCACCAAGCAGACCCCACCGGACGGTGTGACCGTGAACAAGGTCATGGTCGCCGAGGCTCTGGACATCGCCCGTGAAACCTACTTTGCGATTCTTATGGACCGCGAGTCAGGCGGTCCCGTACTTGTTGGTTCGCCCGAGGGTGGCGTGGACATTGAGGAGGTGGCCGAGCGCTCCCCCGAACTCATCTTCAAGGAGCCTGTTGACATCAATGAGGGTGTTCAGGACGCTCAGCTCGAGCGCATGGCCACTAACCTCGGGTTTACTGGTGCCAAGCACGAGAAGGTAGGCCAGCACATCCACGCACGCCTTGCCTGCTCTCGCACATCGAAACTGCCGCACCCCACCCACCAGCCTCCACCTGGCGCGCAACATCCGCGAGTGCGCCTATTTTGACTTCTGTTCTGTTGCGACCCTGCACCTGCACCTCAATACATCAATACATCGCTAGGCTAAGAAGGAAATGAAGCAGCTCTACGAGCTTTTCATGGGCGTTGATGCCTCGCAGGTCGAGATCAACCCTTTTGCCGAGACCCCAGATGGCCGAGTGCTTTGCTTTGACGCCAAGATCAACTTTGACGATAACGCTGCCTTCCGCCAGCAGAAGATTTTTGCCATGCGCGATACGGCCGAGGAGGTGAGCATACCACTCATCTCTTCTGCGCGCCGTCATGCGCTTGTGCGCTTCTGCCGGCCACTGCTTGCGCCACACCTCATCACTTGAATGGCATCACTCAGGATCCTCGCGAAGTTGAGGCTTCCAAGTTCAACCTGAACTACATTGGTATGGATGGCAACATTGCCTGCCTTGTGAACGGTGCAGGACTTGCCATGGCAACGATGGACATTATTAAGCACCATGGCGGTGAACCCGCCAACTTTCTCGACTGCGGTGGTGGCGTCACTGAGCAGATGGTATGTCAATCTTGCCGCCTCCGTCTTCACCTCAAACGCACCCGCTGATATACACGCACTACATGCTGCCCTTCACTTGGTGCGTGTCATCAGGTTGCCAATGCCTTCCGCATTCTGACGTCCGACCAGCAAGTTGAGGCCATTTTGGTCAACATTTTCGGTGGTATCGTCAACTGTGCCACGATTGCGAGCGGTATTGTTTTTGCCTGCCGCGAGGTCGAGCTTCAGCTGCCTCTCGTTGTGCGCCTGGAAGGTACCAATGTCGAGGGTGGCAAGCAAATTCTGGCCGACTCGAAGCTTCCCATCATCTTCGCTGCCGACTTGGATGAGGCTGCTCAGAAAGCCGTTGCCGCTGTCCGCAAGTAAATCAATCAGCTTTTGCCCGATAGGCTGAGGTCACGTCGAAAGACCGCAGTTGCATGTTTATCAAATCTCGAGCCAGCTTTGACCTTGCCTTGCCCAATGTTTTTGTTTCATTCTTTCTTTTCCATTCTTTCTTCTTTCTTTCTTTTTTTTTTTTTTTTTTTCACATTCCCTTTTTTTTTTTACCTGCCCTTGAGGCAAGTTGATTACCTCTTTGGGCGATAAGATACGCATCATCATGGCATTGTTCTATCTATTTTACCAAAACCATTTACACGAGCACATGCACGAAAGCGTGGATGTGCATATGGACAAGCATCTTGCATCGTACGTGAATGGGCATGATCCTCATCATTCTAAACCTAGCCTACGCGCAGACAACGATGACTCTTTCACCGATTGGGTGGGGGATGATATCCGTCACAGCGCATGGAAAACACCACACGCATGCCAAGAAAAGCACTCATGGGTCGGGTATGTGAGCAAGTTACCCCTCGGGGCTTGAAAAAACATGCTCACACACGGCTCACGGAGGATGTGCTGCCAAAGGCATCCAAAAAAGCTTCATCCTCGTCGGCTTCTGGCGACTCTTCTGCGGGGTCTGGCGACAAAGCACTCTGTTCGTGGAGGTGCAGAAGGTACGCACGACGCTGCTCCCGTGTTGGTATCGCTACGCGTTGTGACTCAAGAAAAATCTGACTGCAGTCGCTCTGCGAGCGCGTGTGACTTCGAACTCTAGCGAATTCAAACACAGGCCAAGAGCAGCCGCATCTCGTCAGCAACAGGTACCCCACGCGAAAACAATCAGCACTGGTTGGTGCGAGGCATCAAATTTACCGCCGGCGTGTGTGCTCCGGGCTGTTTGGTGCACTTAAGGAGCTGGCAAAAAGGTGAGCAGTGCGTGCAGAGCCATCATGAGCATCAAACAAAAAATGGAGAAGGCTCTACCCGTCTGACTCCCCTCACCCCCCATTCAAGAGAAGAGGGCGAGGTTCAACGTGAACCCGTCCATCACAACATACGCGGCTGATGCGGGTAGGAGCGGGCGGTCCTCGTCATCTTTCTGGTGGCGTAGCTGATTATATACATCCGAATCCATCTGCTTGGCGAGTGACGGGACACAGGCATCACCAAATAGAACAAGAGCAGAAGAACCAAAACGAAACCAAAAACCACACAGGGCATCGTTTGTGCAGGAGAAGGGGGGTGTGTCGCACCTCAATCACACTTTGATACAACAGGGTGGCCTGCTTGAGACCTTGCGCACGCAGAAAGACACGGCGCATCTGTTCAAGGCGCTCCAGGGCCTGTCGGGCGGTGGGCCGACGGGTCGGGTCCTGCACAGCAGGTTATGAGACAGCAGCACGACAGGGGGTGGTGTGAGCCTACATCCGAGGTGGAAATAGCACCCATACGGCTAACGTATTAACGGGCATACCTGATGCCACATGTCCTGCATCAGCGCGGCATAATCGGCATCGGCATCTGCTGGCACCACGGGCCGTGTCTCGTCCTCCGTGACGAGCTTGTACACTTGATGTTGAGCTAGCCATCGAATGGGAAAGAAAGGGAATGAGGGATTAGATGCAGTCCTTGGACGCTCGCCTCACACACAGGCTTGCATAGATTGAGACTCAGACTCACGGTGCTCATAAAAAGGAACCTGGCCAGACAGAATTTCCCACAGCACCATGCCAAGGCTGTACACATCAGCAGCGCGGGTGCGACGGCCATATAGAATGGCTTCTGGAGCAGTCCAGTTGACCGTATTTGGGACCACTGTTTGCTTGGTATTATCCTCCTCCTCCACGTCAGTGCTCTTGTCCTCTGCCGCATCGGAAGCAGGCAGAGCATTCAGATCGTCACTGAGCTCGAGATCGGTCAGCTTGATCACGGCCTGCTGCGAATCGTGCAGAGCAGAGATTCGTTGAATGTCGGCAATCGCGCTTTGCAATCGATCAAAGGCTGATAGGTCATTGGGCAGATGGCGCCGACGGAAGGGGACGATGCGCTCGAGGTCATCTGCGGCCAGCTGCAACAGGCCTGGGTGGCTGCGGCTTGATGAGGAGCCTCGCACTGCCGCAGCGTAAAAGTGTTCCACAAAAGTCTCGAGCCCTATGCATTGAATTGATAGCGAGGAACAGGCGTTGAGATGCCGTGTGGTTGGTGGCAGCGAATCAAGGATGGGTGGGGCGTACGCATTGTCTTGAGCCACAGGCAGACGTCGCGGTTGGTCCATTGACTGACGCGTTCCGAGCCCACCAAAAAGTTTGAGCTCTTGAGATCCATGTGAACGTGTCCTGCCAAATTCGTGCAGCAGCGATCGCGCGGTTATGGGCGAGCTAGCATGGTGGATTTCAAAGGTCAAAGTATCAGGTGTCTTGATCAAGGGACAAACTCACCTAGTTCGTGTAAGCAGGTGACAGCTCGGGCGCAGTCACACGCAATGGCCAAGCGCGTGGACCAATCGATAGTGCGGGTGCTCGGCAAGCGCAAAAGGCCAAACAAATCGCCTGCAATCACGTAGCCAGTGAGATGGCTGTCAGCTACTAGTTGGCGCACACAAATGCTTGGCAAGACCACGAGTGATTCGGTGTGAGAGAAGATGCGGGCTTTTCTACCTGGGCAATATTCCATGACAGAACAAATGGCTGGTGGTTCAACACATAGGCCCTCGACTTGAATAATATTGGGATGTCGGATGGAACACAGGAGGGCGTTTTCACGGCGAAAGTTGTCAATGGTTTCGGGGATGAGGGTTGGGCAAAAGAGCATCTTGATCGCCACGCGCTTGTCCTCAAAGATGCCCCGAAAGACGCGGGCTGTGCCTCCAGCACCCAGGATGAAATAGCCAAGGTTGGCAGACATGCGGTCCTCCTCCACAGACAATGAGGAAGAGTTGATCATTGGACAAGACTATGGTCATTCCAGTCGGAAGTGAGGCGGTCCCTTCAAGAAGCAGGGGTAGCGGAGCGAGCATGAGCAAAAGAGGCGTTTTGAGGCCTGACCTGACTGATGACACCCATTTGTTCGGCCAGGGCGGCGGCTGCCGATTGATCAAAAGAGACCCCTAGAAGAGGCTTGCGTACGTCCGCACCCTCGAGGGAGTCGTCGATTGAGCTTGAGCTTGAGCGGGACCGAAGGGCGAAGATGCCCACGTAGAGGCCTTGCCAATAGAGGGAGTCAAGGTAGAGGGTGTAGTAAATGATCAAGGGTTTGGCGACGCCAAACATGAGCCAGGTGAAGATCATGTATCCACAGTAGGCACCGTCATAGCCCTTGTACATGAGGATGAAAAGAACCATGTAGCCCGGCCGATAGGCGGTCCAGCAGCAGGCGTAGAAGATGGCGGCGGGGCGGCGATAGAGCCACTTTCGCGGGGCAAGCACAACAAAGAGATAAAAGACAAAGAGGACGGATTCGTAGCCAATTTGAATGTACAGGCCATAGTCGTGGCTTGGGTAGCGCGACTGGATAATGTAGGTGAGGCCTTGAGCGGCCCCGACGAGGATGGCCAGCACAAAGGTGACGAGACAGGCCTGTTGAAAGGCATCGCGGCCGATGCCCTTGAAGCAGAGAAGAACGACGATGCCTTCGAGCACAAAGTGATAGACAAAGCCGGAGAAGCCCCAATAGACCCCGGCCAAGTCACCGACGTCCGAGGCAAAGGGTTTGGAATGAAAAAAGACGCTGCCCAGGAGGAACAAAAGCAGCGAGATGCCAAAGCCATAAATGATGTACATGTAGGCCTTGGTGATGATGACTTGACCAGCACGCTCATCGCCCTGGCGAGCCTTGCGCTGTGCACGTAAGTGCCAGACGAAAAGCGCCAGATAGGCCACGAGTTGCACGCCACCCACAGGCATAGTCACGACTGGGTCAAACGCCAGTGCAGCGCACGACGACATGATGTCGGTCCACCAGAGCAAAAGTCGAGCCTGTCAAGGGTGGGGGGGGGCGGGGGGGGTAAAGGGGAAGGAGCTCAACGAATGATGGAGGGGCTGATGGCCCCACCGGCCGTTTGGTGGCAAAGTGGGGTGGCCAATACTGAGAATCGGATCTCAGTGCGTTTTCGGGCGTCGCGGCAAAGCAAACTGGAGGCCATAGCCTGCTGCAGCTGCTGCTCAGAGATGAACAACCAGCACCACTTCAATAGCGAATCGTAGCATGAGATGAAGAAAGGTCTAAAAGGAAAAAAAAAAAAGAAGAAGAAGAAGAAGAAGAAGAGCGACAAGAAGGGTCACGCCGACAACTCTGTGGTGGTTTCCAACTGCCACAGTTGTGAGCGCCAAGAGCAGCTCGCAGCTCGCAGCTCACTTTGAAAACAAAAAAAAGAAAAGTGCGCCAATTTTTTTTTCATAGCGTGAGAGTTTCGCATGGTGCTTGTATGATGTGTGTGTGTGTGAGCTCCACTTGGTGGGGGACAGAGGAGAGAGGGGAACAGTAGTGGGCAAGACCAGCAGGCGACATGTGTGGTCAAAGGGCGGGACAGCCATTCAAGCTCAACCCCACAAGTGCCAGCCTCTCCATCGACTGACGCTGCCATTGGCCAACGCACGCAAGACGATAGCAGACGAATTCAGTGAGTGTCCTTCAACTTGAGCCGCGTCCCCTCACACTCTGCGATGGCAACATCCAAGGCACGCTCCTGTTGCTTACTGCTGTTGTTGTTGTTGCTGTTGTTGTTGTTGTTGTTGCTGCTGGTGATGACGATGCTGATGCTAATAATGATTCTTTTCCTGCTGTTGGCTCTCTCTTTCTCTTTTGCTTTTTCTCTCTCTCGCTCTCTCTCTCACACACACTCTCTCTCTGTCTTCGCTCGGTGCCTGCTTGTCTGAGCCAGTTTGTTTGCTGCTGCTGCTGCTGCTGATTGCTGATTACTGATTGCCGAGTGTGAAAGTGGTGGCGGGACTGGGACTGGCGCATGCTAAAGACCTCACGCCAGGGGCGACAAGCCACCCATCTGTGATCTCTGTCCCCTCATTTTTTTTATTGTATGTTGACTCCTTTGTGAGCGATCGAGCAGCTTGCCGGAGCAGCTGTTGCATCAATTCTGGACCTGCCTGCTTGTGAACATTCCATCCTTCAGTCTCTTCTCCCTGGGTGGGCTCGAGGTGCTTCAGGCACCCTCATTGCTAGTGTACAGGGCCGTTGGCCGCCTTGACGTACTGTCTCCTTCTGGCGCGCTGCCACCGCATCCGTGATTTCTGCTACGTCTTGTGCACGTCAAGTCCGCCCCCTCTGAGCTTTTCAAGCCAGAATTGTGTTGAGCAGCCACCCAGCATCTCATCCAGGCAGTCCGAGTGCAACCGCTTGGCGACCCGCGTGTGGCCGGGCTCCCTCTCTCATCCTATATACCCTCTCCTCTTGCGGGCCCATTCTCGCGTGCGGTTTGTGACATTCCAAAGTTCTGCGCTGACCTTGCCCCTCGTTGGCCATTTCAAGACCAACGGCGCCGGCCAAGACTCTTTGAGGGTCATAAGATGCGTACGTGAAGCATGCTGCGTTCTCTTTTCGGATTTGCCAAGGCCGAAGCCGACCTCCCGGTCGAGGCCGTGGACTACGAAGCGCCGCTGCCTGGCTGCGTGGTCGCCACCAACCAGGAGCAGCTGGCCTCTCAAGGCGAAATCTACCACGCCGATGGCTCTAATGAGGCCGTGATGCACCACCTCAGCACCAGGTATGGTCGCTGCATCTTGCTTGGCAGCTCCCGGTGGTAGTAGCAGTAGTAGTTGTCGTTGTAGTGGTTGTTGTTGTTGTCGTCGTCATCTTTGTCGTCTCATCAACCGCTGGTCTTCTTCGACTCTTGCCTCGGCACACACACAAACACAATACGCCTCAAATGCCCTCTGCCTCCACTCACGGTCTCGGTCCCTGCACTACCTCAGCCCACCCAAATACTACGAATTTCAGTATGGCCCCGAGTTTCGAAGGGGTATCAACATGGACCGCGGCGGCTACGGCATTGCCAAGTTTGTCGCTTGCTCACCTCGCCTCGTGCCGGCCCGCCAAGCCAACACACGTACCTCATCAGTCTCACGCCATTTTTGCAAACGTGCCCTGCACCCGCTCAGGGATGGAACCATGTTTGGCTGCGTCTTTGATGGTGTGACAGCCGGTGGCAAAGTTAATGCGTACGCCGCTCAGGCCTTCACCAATTACACCCTCAAGTGGCTTGCTCGCAACGCCGCTCGTCTCAGCATCGACGAAGAAGTGCTCGTCCAACAAATGCATCAACTCTTTGAACAATGTACACACTTTCATAACAGCCGTCTCTCCAACGGACAGTCTGCAGAGGGAGGCTCGGCTACTGGGGCCGTCGCTGCCTTTCGGCAGTCTTCAGCCGCCACCAAGGACATTCAACTATTAGGTGGTTACATTGGTGACGCCGCCGTTGTCGTAGTTCATCCCCTCAAGGGTGCTCGCCTGCTGACACGCAAGTTTCGACGTGAGAACAACCCGTCCGATACAGGTGGACAAATCATGATGAGCATGGGCTTGTCTGGTCAAGTGCGACCCCTCATCTACAATCTCTGCACGGATGCCCTGGTGATTCTTACCACGGACGGCTTCACCGATAACATTGTTCGTGGCGAACTTCATGAGATTGTCCCTCTTCTCATCGAATCCACCTTTTTTGACCGGCCCGTCAGCAAGGAAGTCGGGGTCAAAGACCTCAAACGCCTTCCTGATTATGACGAACTTTTTCACCTCATGCAGGGCGCTCCGCGGGAGGAGCTGGCTCAAATTACCTGCCTGCAGGCTGCCACACGACTCGCCAATTACATCGAGTGGGTCACGCGACCCCTTTACACTCGCGAAGAAGCCTTTTTTTCCCTGTCCCTCGAGCACAAAATCTTGCATCAATCGGCCCAACCACCTGATCCGGCTGCCGTCCACAAGATTGAGACGGCCATGGCCAGGCTGCGCGAAGAACGGCAAATCCACAAGCCCGCTGGCAAGACGGATGATTGCATCATCCTATGTATGCGCCCTGTCTCCTCACGCGTCACCGGAGCGACCCACGCATAGCATGCAATCCGAAGCGTGATGCTTTCCCTGGCCCCATGTAGCTAACATATCATTTATGCAATTGAGACAAAAACGAGTGCAAATGCCCAAGACTGAAAGCCAAAACAAACAAGCTTTACTGAAGATGTGTCACCACCGTCCAAACCAACCAAAGTCAATGAGACGGAAAGGCAGAGACACGATGACAAGGCAGTTGCCCCCAGACTTGAGCGATGGGCTCGTTGGGTGGCTGGCCTGTCCTGCCCGCAGACAGGGCTTTGATGACACGCTCCTTTAGCTCAGATGGGCCATCTTGGCCTTGAACGCCTCCTATTCAACCGTCAATGCAATGCATTTTGATCGGCAAATTGCCCGTGAGTGTCACTGTGCACTTGCGACTACAGGCGGCAACTCTCAACAAAAACAGTGCCCAAACCTTGCGCTTGCGCGCCTCCTCAGCCTCTTGACGACGCTGCTCCTGCTCTGCCTTGATTTCATCCTCAAACCTAAGATGTGGTGCCAAACAGGGGACCGTGACAAGTGAGGTCTTGTTGTGTGATCAGCCACGCTAAAATCACAGTCGCAAGCTGTGTAGGCGACAGGCGTCAACCACTGACTTGTTAGCGTTGGCTGAGCGTTGTGCATGTGCTTCAAAAAAGGCTTTGGCACCGCCCACGCCCGCCTGTGGAGCAGGATAGATGAGTGTGAAACGGTCACGGCCAAACACCGACTCACTATTGCGAGCGCATCCTCTGAACGTTTCCAGTGCATGGGCAAGCGTCGTCTCGAATTTAGTTTCACGCTTTGGTTGTGGTGCGGGGTACTGACCTCGCCGACGTCAATGCTATCCGCGATGGCAGTCAGGCCTTCCGCCTGGAGCTCACCCGCTGCAGCCTTGCGGAAAATCAGGAAAAACTCGCGAAGCGAGATCTCACCGTCGTTATCCTAAACGCCAACCCCGCCTGAATGAGCATCTAGCTCTTTCCAAAGCTCGACTACAAGCCCGAGCTGGTGGCTGGGTAACCCATGCTTCGGAGAAAAACAGCGCCAGTCCAGCAGTAGGCTGGAAGCTGATCGAGATGCAACAATTGCCAGCTGACCTCGTCAATTTCGCTAATCATGTTCTTGAGGGACACATGCGTCTGAGGCGCACCCAATGCCTCCATCATCAGCTTGAGCTCCATCAGATCAATGGCACCGCTCTTGTCAGCATCAAACTGTCCAAGGCCCACACGAGTGTAAGCAATCGTTCAGCGAAAAAGACTGCACTTGGCCCAAAGCGCTCATCTCCAGCCGAGGCCCAAAACAGGCTGTCAAGCGCCGTGACCCCGCGTACCTTTCGGAACATCTTCTCCTTCTCCCGAATCTCCTTGAAGCTGAACTCGGGAAACTCTGTGGCTGGGTTGAACCGCTGGCTCATTTTAGGAGCCTCGGCGCCATCATTGAGCATGTTCCGGCGCGCCAGCTTTTGTGCCAATTCGTCCGCCATCTTCTTCGGTTCAAGTGACTGCCGTTTGCACAGAAGAAGAAGCAGAAGAAAACAAATAAATACAAGAGAGACAAGACACAAACGAGAGAGAGTTCCAGACAAGCATTGACTGTGAGTCCACCCCTTTCTTTCCCTTTCTTTTGTTTTTGCTTGTTCAATTTGTTTTTTTAAACAGATGCACACTTGGCATTGCACAGCCCATTCATCCAATTGGCAGACTTGATTAGAGGAATCAAAGTGCTCATGGCAGACGCTCATGCAGACACGGGGGCCTCGGATCGTGCGGGCTCCTCGGCAACGGTTTGATCCACAGCTTCAGGCTCGTCCGAGTCATCAGAATCCTCCTTTTCTACATCAGCTTGGGAGGCATCGGCTTGCTGGCGCTCAGCCAAAGTTGCCGCCCGCCCATCGCGGAGTATCTTCTCGCGGTTCACGTGGGCCAATGGGATGGAGGCCAGGTCTACAACGGGCTTGGTCTCTGGTTCGAATCGCACTGGTCGTCGACACCGATTAATTTCGTACCACTGTCCGCACGCTGTCAAAATCCCCCACCAGAAGCCAAAGTGTGTGAGCAGAGCTGATTCAATCAAGAAAGGCTGAATCACCAGGCAGGGTAAACGCCAAACCAACCGAAGCACAAGTGTTGTTGAAAAGCTTCCTGCCAACCCATCCATTTGGGGCCAAGGCCCTTGCACATGTCACACGTAATGGTGGTGTTGGACATGCGATCGTCATGGACAACAACCACGTGCTCGCCAGCGCGGGGTGCCAGCAAAGGAGACTGCGCGCGCTCTTCAGCTGGTACCGGCGGCGCTGATTTGCTTGTGTCCTGCTGTTCAGAAGCCGACACCGACGACGCTCGTTTGGCTCGCTTGGTGGCTGGCGAAGCGTTTGACGCGCCCTCCAGCTGGATTCCCATCAACGCACGCATGCCTGCCGCCACACGCGGTTGAAGCGAAAAACCGGTACATGTCAAATGTGCACCAGTAACTCCCAACCAGCCTCAACCTTGTCCAAATTCCTGGTCGCGTCCTAGCCAGTTTTTACAGCTGGGCACTTACGTTCCAGGTCCACCAGCGCGCCCGGCTTGGCACCTGCTAAGCGTTGACGGAATAATTGGCGTAGCTCAATGCCAAGCTGCCTTTCCTCGTTCAAGAGTTCCCAGGGTCGACCGGTGGCCACTCGTGTGATCTAAGTGCAGCCAGGAGGAAGACATCTTGAACAGACGAAACAGCAAAATAGCAGCAATATCGGCCATCGCGGGTGTGGCAGAGATGGGCGGCCCCGCACCTGAGCTTTCCGTAGTTGACGCAACTTGCTCTCAATTTCATCGACTGCTTGCGCTGGTTCGCTTGATTTGGGCTCGCTGGCGCTGCTATTCGTCGAGCTCGAAGCCACGGGCACAGAGGCTGGATCTTTGTTCTGGGCGTGCAAATGTCGGCGCACGGCAGGCATGAAGGAAAAGGTTAGAAGCACAAAGAGAGACAAAAGAGAATGGCGAGGCCACAATAGGTCAGACTGAGCCTGGCACCATCTCATATTGCCACTCGACAGCAGAATGACCACGTGCGTTGTGCACGAACCACTTTGTCACAGGCAGCCTTGATGTCGTGCAACGTTGTCTGATACTCCTGTACAGTGCAGCTCGCAGCATGAGAAATGATCATGTACGAGTCGGCAACAATGTCCTCCAACGTGCTCCAAAGCATCAGAAGCTTGTCAGTTCGGACAAGAGTAGACATGGATGGAGGAAACAATTCGAAGAAACACACCTTGGTGCTCATGTTCATGCGGGCGGAGAGAGTGCAAAGCTTATACAAGTGTTGGAGAATGCTACAAGAGAAACCAAACCGACCGACCCCGATGTATGCCCAAGGCCACATGAGTAAGGGGGGTGGATATAGCGTACAACGCGTGCGATTTCTCGGTCAAAGCCGAGAGCTGACGCATACTTTGAGCCTTTGACGTCACCAAAATCATCGCTAAACGTCCAACCAAACCACACCCAAAAAGGTCAGCAACAGAGGACAGTGCACGTGTGGCAGAGTCGTAGGAAAGCATGCTTAACCGTGGCGTGAAATCGCGTGAAAGTCTGACCTGGGGTGTGCATGATTTAAGAGCAAGCCAGCCTCGTGATGTGAGAGATTGGCGAGGAAACTGTCTTGTCGAGGGGCAAAGCTGTGCTCGGGCTCAGCCTCCCGCTGTGTTGCTGTAAACCCCACATGAAAAAAAAAAAAAATTGAAAAATTATGGTGAAAACCAACGACAAAAATGGAAAGGGACGGCCCACCCGGCGCGACGGCATTTTTTAGTCAAGCATATAGCGTGGCGCAATAATAAGAGGCCCCGTGTGGTAGCCCAAGCAAGAGATGCGCATGCTAAAAGGTAACACATACGTGGAACTGCGCCGTGCCAGTTTCGCTCGGTGACAGGGGCCGGAAGAATAGAAGTGATGGGTGGTAAGATCACGCCAAGGCGTTCTTCGCCTGGAATAGGCTTGGCTGCGTGCCCAAGGCAACACAAAAAAAAAAAAGTGTGTCAGCGACCGACGCGCATGCTTTGGCAGAGGCATGCTGCTGTTGAAACACGTACTTGCAGCGTTCACAAAGCCTAGAGACACGCTCTTGGAGGAGCCTAAAATCGGGCGCACGGCGCGTACACCAGGAGCGGCCTCAAAAGGTTCAGCGCGCTTGGACGCGGGCGGCGCTGGAGGTTGGTTTGGTGCACTGGCGAAGCCATCAGGCATGTGGGCATGAGGCAACGCCGGATGCGAGATATTGGTGCGAGGGAGAAACAAGTCGGCACCGTACATGCGCTCATGCAGGGCATCAATCTTCTTCAGACCCTGGCTGAAAATATCGGCAATGTACACGGCCATGTCAGAGGCAGGGGTTTGGTGCTCATAGGCTGTGCGGCACATGATCTGGAAATCTCGCTGCGGGTTGGGTCGCAGACCGGGCATGGTGAAAGGCGTGAGCCGGAGCGCCTGGGAAGCGAAGGTTGGAGGTCAGATTTGGCTTGCTCAAGGACCAAAAAAAAGGACCTACGCGATATTGGGCAATACTGGTGTAAGTGCCAGCATTGAGGCGCATGCGGATGGTGGCAAAACTGAGCACATCGGCTGCGGGGCGCCGCCCATTGCGAAAAGCTCCCCAGGCGCGAGGGTCGCTGGCGAGCACCATTCGAGCGTCCGATCTAAACGGTCAAAATGAAAACAATTTAGGGGTGGAGCAAAAAGGTAGCAAGAGCGACAGGAGCATGTCGTCATGAGGGTGCTGGGAGGAGAGAGAAAGAGAGAGAGAGAGGACTAAGCGGGACAAATGGACGCACGCTTCGAGCTCTGCATGCAGCTTGGCCAGCTCCTCAGTCACCTCTGCAAGACAGTGAGGCGATAAAATGGTTGTAAAGGAGGTGCCCAATGCATGTCTAACGCAGACAAGGCAGTATACAAGAAGCAGGAACGAAGGGCTGACCTTCACGAGAAGGCAAGGTAGGGAGTGTTGCTGCCGTTGCCGTTGCCGTTGTCGTCGCCGGTCCCGCCGGGGTTGTCGACCCCGCGGTTGTGGCGCTCGCCATGATGACAATCGCCTGTTAATTTGAGCGCACAGGGGCTCACCTATCCCTTTGCTACGGCGCCGATCCCCCGCCTCACACGCTCGCTCGCTCGCTCACACCGCTGCTCTCGATCACCGCTACGCTCGCTCCCTCTCGCGCGGGCGCTCTCTCCTCTCTCTCTCTCTCTCTCTCTCTCTCTCGCACTCTTGCTTTTGTGACCGTTGAATGCTTCAGCCGACCTTGTCTACAACACTGATTCTCAACAGGCCCATTGTCAGAAGAAACACAATGACAATGTCATACACATACACACACACAAAAGGGGGACATGAGGATGAGTGAGATCAAGTCGTGCATTTGTTTTTCTCGTTTTCTTGTTCTTTTATTTTTTTTTTTTTTTTCGTGTGTGGTATTGGCACTCTGGTCTGAGGCTTCATGTCATATGGGAGCTCGTTGCTGCAAGGGCTGGTGGCGGGTTGTGGAAAAGGGTAACAGGGCGCCATATGGGCGCCATGGGTGCTGACCCTCGACTGCCCAGACGGTGCTTGCCGGAGCGGCTGCTTCGGGGTCTTCTCGTTCTGGCTTGCTGCCTCACATTGGGCACGTCCGATGAGGCATTGCGCCCCGTGCGAATCACGTACGACATCATGGATACAGCTTTGCGTGACTTGCAGCCCATTGCCACGGCTGTGGCAGAGCAGCTGCGCCCACTCCTTCAAGGTTGGTCCCACGCTCACGTGAGGAAGAACCCGTCAGCGCGCCGGATTCTGATTGGTGGACCACACGCCTTGTCCTCATCGTCTCCAACCTCTGCGTCCTCGGCAGTATATTCGACGGAACGCATGACGCTGCCGCGCTTGTACTGTGTGGGACGGAATGAAGAGGGCACTTGTATCTCCAATAACCCCTACACCGTCGAAACATGTGATGGCCTGCCCCTCAACGCCTCCTATCTGGAATCCACTGCGTGTAGTGCGGGATCGGGATTCTGCCTGTCCCAAACAAACGATGGCGTCCTGGCTGATTTGATCATCCTACTTGCCTTGGACGACGAAACCAATGCATGCGAGGGCCGAACCGCACGCGCCGTACCCTGCCTGCGTGCAAGCAACGCGCGCCCAATTGCGGGTGCCGTTCGATTCTGCACGACCGCCTTTCTGCAGGATGACGCGGCCAGCCACAATCTCCTGCTGCATGAGACCATTCATGCCCTGGGCTTGGCCGACGCCCATGCCCCGTTTTTTCGCGAATGCACACCTGCAACCCAGCTTGAAAATTGTACCCTTCGCGATGCTAACACCGTCGTGGTGGCTGGGGAAGGCAACAGGTACTATGCCAACCTGTCCACCGCCCGCAACCAAGTCCAAGCCTTGTTCGGCTGCTCAGAACACCAAGTCAATCAAACTCCCGGTGTGCTGCTTGAGCAAGCCACGGACGGTCGTGAGCCCCCACCATTGGACCATTGGGAGTTTACCCTATTTCCGCTGGAGATCATGACCATCAACTGGAACTCACCCATGGATCGACTGCGGACGTTGACCCGCATCACGCTGGCAGCTCTTCAGGACACAGGCTGGTACCTGGCAGACCTGAATGGCGTACCGGACACCTTGGGCTCCAGCCCCTTCCGATGTCGCCAGGCTTGGGGAGAGTGCGGTCGTATTGATGACAACAGCCACTACCCAGCGAGCTTTTTCTGTGACCCTAATCAAGCCGGCGCGCTGCGCTGCTATCCGCAGGACAACTATCTTGCCGCCTGTATAGCTTCGACCGCCTCGGCCCCCTGTGCCATGCTCACGCCCATCAATGATTGTGCGGAGGAAGAAATTCTACGCGCATTTGCCAATGACACCAGTGACACCAATGATATCATCACTTGCCTCGCTCTTTCAAATGCCTCGGCCACGTGCGGCGCGACCAAATGCCTGGGCAAGGACACTTTTTGGGCTGCAAGTGACAATAACTTGGTCTGGCAGCTTTGCGATGAGGACATGTGCCCTGCCAGTGCCGTGGACGCCTGCGGTCTTACATCTGCCGCATTTACCTCTCAACAAGCCGTGCTGGTAACGCTCTTGTTTTCCCAGCAGAATCCTGGCGCATCGTACCCTTGGTCGGCCGGCAACTGGACCCGCGCTTTGCGCACGCAGTTGCGCCAGGTCATCAGCGGTTTTTGTCCAGAGCAGCTTCACGTGGTTAGACTCGAGTACATCTCTCGAGTTAGTCAGACCAAGGTCAAAGTCTCCTTCTACCTAGCTGCTCTGAATGGGTGCCCGAGCGAGCCCGAGGACATTGTGTATAGTTTTGCGGCGCGCAACATTACCTTTTCCGTGCGCCTCGAGGCCTGGACCTACGCATATTTGCAACTTGTACCCGAAGAGACTGACGTCACAACAAGCGTCTCGACGTCAAGCACCCTAACCATCTTTATCATATCAGTACTTCTGGTTGCTCTTGGCCTCTTGCCTGCAGCTGTGGTCATGCTCGTTGCCGCCTTGCAAGGCTACGCATTTTGGCGCTCAGCAGCGGTGGGGATTGGTGGTACTCGTGGCGAGTACTTCCTTGACCTTGAAGGATCAGACCAAACCTCCACTGAAAGACAACCGGCAGGAGACACGCTGAGAGCCAACGCAAGTGAGGCCACCCCAGCCGCGCTGGGCTTGAGCCTCTACTTGGCTCCACCACCTCTTGCCCTCGACCCACGTCCTTTGGCTCGGCCTGATGCACCGGTCACGGAGGTGGCTGACCTCGACGCCCGTCTGACCACAAGCAACGCAAACGCCGCTCCCGGTGAAGCACGCCGCGCTTCACTGCGAGCGGCTTGGCAGTAGACCGCACAGCATGCTCGCTGATCCCACTTGATGGCTGAATCACATGGTTTGGGCGCTGTGCGCCGTTATAATATTATTAGTATCGCCATTATTGACGCTCAAGCCTCGGCTTGTATTTGTCATCTGTGAAGAACAATTGATTATATTGGTTGGTAGAAAGGAAATCAAACACTCTGCAGATGCAATTGAGAAATGTCCGCGTTCCTCTTCAGCCAAATCCAGCTTGGTTTGGCAACAGTGACGTGGAATCGTCGCGCGTCAACACCAGGCGGCAGAAAACAGGCCTGAGATGGTTGGGGCCTAATCGTCATCCTCGAGAATCGGGGCCTTGGTGCGTTTGGCTGGTTGCTTGCCCGAAACAATGAGATCATCCTCGTCGTCGTCATCATCATCGTCAACAAAGCGCCGAGCATTTTTGCGGCGCGAGCCATCCGAGTCGGCGGCAGCGGCTGCATTTTGTTTGGCCCGTCGTGATGCCCGAAGCGCCTCCAGACCTCCAGCTTCTTCCTCTTCATCATCATCATCGTCTGCATACTCAATCTAAACCCAATCGAGACGCCATGAGAATGTCTGGTTCTAGCCTTGACGTCTCAATGATATTCTGCTCCTCAAGCTGACTGCACGAGAAGAAAGAACCAAGCCAACAAGCACAAACCTCATCTTGCACAAAATCATCCTCCACATACTCATCCAGCTCCTCTTCATAGTCCTACACGACAGGCCGACGATGTGGTGAGAAGAAGAAGAAAAAAATAAAAATAAAAAAAAAGGCCAAGAGATATGGTCAAGGGGAAGGAAGACAGGAAAGGGACCCGTAAAATGAAGTAGCGTCATTTATGACTGGCACGTACGTCGTCACGCAGGCTGGTTTCCAGATCCGAGGCCATCACACGGCCCGACCGTTTTCGCTGGGCCCGGCGAAGCTGGTTTTCGCGTTGTCGGCGTTGGCGATTGACTTCCTCCTCGCGCTTCATGGCCTCAGCCTTGGCGGCATCATGATCGACCTGGACAGAGAGCAGCTTGGTGGCTTGCGCTTGGTGTGTGCGCTTCGACACCTAAAACAAGCCACACCTAGGAGTGAGACTAGCCTTGGAGTGTGGACGTGCCACAATGGACACACTATGCATGCGGGGCGACAAAACAAACCTCGCGTGCCAGTTGGGCGTGGGCTGCGTTGCGTAAACCAGCAGGCTTGAAGCCAACGCGTTCGCGAAACACGTGGCGAGCCTGTGTAGAGCCAGCAGTACACGCAATGCATGCATGAGCATGAGCTGTGGGCATGCGCCGTCCCCTGTCTCGTCACCCATAACACATGAGGCCGACTTGGCGTTCAACGTACCATGACACCACGGCGGTCAATCTCATATAATTGCATGTTGTTATCAGTCAGGGCTGTGCGCGTGCAGTCGTAAATCTGATCACCCAATACAAGGGAGACCGAGCCGTCGTCCCATTGCACAAAGCGCGCATTGCTCTCATTGTACAGCTGGCCACCCATCTGCCTCAACACACGATTCAACCAACGTGAGTCACTCAGAGGTTAAGTGCCCTGTCTTCCGCGACTGATGTGCTGTGGGATCACTTGGTCGGACGCACCTCAATCTGGCGCCATCGCAGCGTGTGTTCATCCTAGAAAGAGAGAACGGACAAGAAAGCAAAAGTGAAGCAAAACGGGGGTGTTTGCAGAATTGAGGGACAAATACAGCTGGAAGCAGCACCCAGGCATGGCTTCCTCCACCACGGCCGTAGCAATTGGAGTCGGCACGTACGCCAAGTTTAACGCGTATCCGGCCCGAAGCATCGACAGGACCCGCATTTGCGGCCTCAAGGGCAGAAAGACTGAGGCGACGCGAGCGCTTTTTGCGTCGTTTTTGGGAACCCTCTGCCGCTTCCACTTGATCATCGGCATCTTCATCCCCAGACCCTTCCTCTTCGTCAGCCAGATCTTCTTTGGTGGCAATACCCGCAGCAATTCGCCGCTGGCGCTCTTCAATCTCCTCGCGCACTCGCTGCAGCTCTGCTTCCCGGGCCTCCCGGGCCTCCAGCTGCTCCCGAAACTCAACGGCGTTGTATTCACTGGAGCAAACAAGCACGATCGTGAGCTACCAGCTGAACCTGCTCCCTCGAGCTGTTTTCCACACTTGTGAGGTTGCTTCAGTCCGTCGAGAGGGATTTCCAAAACAAGAAAAAAAAAAAGAAACAAGGTAAAGACTTGGCATCAAGTAGGTAATGAACAGACCTCGACTCGATGCTGATAAAGTTGGGAAGAGCAACAAGCTGAATGTTGGTACCGATGGGATATGGGTCCAAATAGCCCGTCTCTTCTCGGACAAGGGTCTGAACCTCCGGCTCTTGGGGAGCATCCTCCTCGTCACTTGGCTCGCCAAACAAGGCCCGGTCCCTGCGGGGTAATTGGGCAACAATGAGCACGCGTGCCATCAACGCGTTTGAAAAGCTGTGGTCATTAGAAAACTGACATCGCATCCTGGTCTTCATCATCGTCATCCTCTCCTTGGTTGCTTCGATCCTTGCCATTCTGCCATCCGAGCAACACCACACGGCCACGACGTGGACAGTGCGAGTTGAGCCAAAGTTGGAAAACAATGCAAACCAAACACATGCTATCAGCTGCAAAGCTGATCGGGGTGTCCACACACCAGTCGGTCCTTGTGCGCCGAAGCCTGGCCGTCTGCGCCAACATCATCATCATCTTCGTCGTCATCGATCAACATTGAAGCCTCGAGTTGCTCTAAACAATCATAAGGAGTACACTTTAGTGAGCTAAACCTCAACCAGCCGCTTGACAGCCGAGCGCCAACGCAGGTGGCACGCACTCTCTTGAGCTGCAGATTTTCCACTGGCCGCTTGATTCTGGTCTTTGTCATCATCGTCGTCCATACTGTCGCCCAAGTCATTCATTGCCGCGGCCTTGGTCTTCTCTGCCTTGCCGCCATCGCCACCGTCATCGTCATCGTCACCGTCATCGTCACTCACAATTTTGACTGCGTGAGTGGCTAGCAAGCCAAGCGGAGGCGATTTCGCATGAGGTTCCAAGCCAGACGCCCGTGAAAACCAACCATTGGCACTGCCATCCTACCAGAACCGGTGGGCGCGTCGATTTCTTCCTCGCTGTCCGAAGAGAGCTGCGGGCGCCGATCCCGTGCACCGCTCTCCTTCTACAGTAACATGCCCCAAAGCACGACATTGAACACAGCTCGTTCCTGAGACGCCAACTTCATCGAGGGCTCAGCCGCAGAAGTGCACAGAAGTGTGCGTACACAGAAACACACATGGGCACACACACAGAGGCGCACGCACAACGGCACACACACACAGCCACGCACACACACACAGAGGCACGCACCTGGGCCGGCTCGGGTCGCCGAGCGGCGAGCTCTTCGTCGCTGCTCTCCGCCATGACCACTCTTTCTTTTGGTAACAGCCACAAAAAAATAAAGACTTCGTGTGGGAACTAAAATCTGACAATTTGCTCTCTCTTCGTTGTTCATTTTTTTTTTTATTTTGAATCTTCTTCACAAGCAGAATGGCAGAGGGCGGCACTGTGATCGGCCTGGTGGGCGAGGCGTTTACCTCGGCTCGGCTGTTGGACCTGATTCAAGAGCATGGTCGGGAGAAGCACTTTGTGTGGTTGTTGACTGGAAAGCAACAGGGTTTGCAAGACTGGGAACGCCGCCTTCAAGCCGCGTATGGCCAGCTGACCGCCGCGGCGAGCAGCCTTGACTATCCTTTGCTAGCTGCTAGCGTCCTGCCCATCTGTCGGGCCATGCAGAATGAGCGACTACGCAACATGGAGGCCATCATCACTGATGGTACCCCTGAAAGCGTCACCTGGTCTCAGTGGCTACAACAAGCCGCGGGCGTACAGATGGCCACGAGTGTGCAAGATGCCAGCAATCCTCGGCTTTCTGGAGCGGAGCTCGCCGCCTACACCACACAAGCAGAGGCTCAGCTGAGCCACATCGTGACATCTACCAGCGTGTGCCTAGGAGGTACTTTCGACCACCTCCACTTTGCACACAAAATTATGCTGACTCTGGCCTGCCTGCGAGCTTGTAGCACAGTCTACTGTGGCGTGTCCGGTGAGTCTGAGAGTCATGTTGCTGGGCCCGTTGCGTGAGATGGACATTTGACTTTGCAATCGCTTTTCCAGGTCCAGCGCTGCTGGTGAACAAGAAGCATGCCGCCTGCCTTGAATCCCTTGAGACGCGGTGTGTTTTGCAATGCCTGATGCGGTGTGTAGTTAAAGAGCTAAAATTTGGCTCACATGAGATTATTGTGTCATCTACCTGCCTGACACACAGCATGAACGGCGTACGAACCTTCTTGCAGCTAGCGGCACCTCGACTCAAAGTTGAAGTGAGATTGACCCGTGGCCCTCTTCTGCAAGGTGGTCGTCCGGGCGTGCGTTATGCCTCTCACCTTGCACGAGCTTTGGTAGCTCTTCCCTTTGCATGATCCCTTTGGCCCGACCATCACCTGGGCCAAGATTGACACGTTGATTGTGACACAAGAAACGGCAGGCGGGGGCACGGCCAGTAAGCTTTTGCACCCGACCTGCGGCGCCCTTGCGTACTGTGCCACCTGAGGCTCAAACCAACTGGTCCTTTGCTGGCTCTGCGGCACACGTGCATAGTCAATGCGAAACGTCAAGAAGGAGGCCTTCCTCCGTTGGAGTTGATCGTGATGGGCATGTTGCAGGTGAGCCTGGTCTTGTGCTGATTCATCGGACCGTTGTCGCGTTTGCCTCCGAGCCCAAACGTATTTTTTTTCCCTGATTTTCCCTGGTGGCTGCAACCTGTACTAATGCATGTGCATGTGTCAGGAATCTGCTGACGGCGATGAAGGGGGCAAGCTCAGCAGCACCTCAATTCGAGCTTGGCTAGCAAAGCAAGCAGCTTAGGTGCCAGAGGGGAGAAGCTCACGGAAAGTGTTTGAATGAGTCTCATGCTCAAGGCTGAAAGGTGAAGACCAGGTCGTTGCCAGCTGCCGCCACAGCGGCGGAGCAGCGCTGCTCCGGGTCTGGCTTGGGATTGAACACCCATTGCGGTTGGACCTATGACATAGTAAGGAGCATGTAGTTGAAATTTGGTGGTAGAGACGATCAGCAAAGTCAGGATCAGGAAACCGATGGAATGAGGCCAAATTGACTTATTCCAGACACAAGAAAAAAAAAAAAAAATAAATAAAGCGAGCCACAAACAACAGCACCGCGGTAGAGCACATGGTCAGCGCGTGAGGAAAAGGGGCGACACAAACCGGCCCGGTTGGAGTCATGAGCGTCATGTCCAAAAACGTGCTGTTGCCACTGGGAAGCTGGGAGCAGCCCGCCACGCCGTACGTTTCCAATGTACAATAGGCCCATGGCTGCTTGGTCAAACGCGCGTGCGTGGCACTATGTGAAACAAAACAATTGCGCCCACACAGTCCCAAGGTCAGTAAATTGCACAAGGTGGCCCATGCCATAAAGCAATCTCTCGCTGGATTCTGATCGAAAAGCATGGTAGCGCACTGAATAGAGGTGGACAGGCCCGTGCGCTCATTGGTCGTGATAATGAGCCAGGACTCAGTACCAGTGCGCGTCATGTTGCCTGTCGATCGTGGCATGAGTGAGGGAAGCGAGACCGAAAACTAGGATACAGGGCACCACAGGGCGAGCAAGTACGGACCTAGGATGACATCACCGGGCTCGGCGCGAACCTCCGTCGACTCGACGGCACCGCTGTCCAGCGTCACATACCTGCCCAGGACCCGCAACCCAGCGCACAGTGAGACGATTATGCAAGCACCTAGGTCATTGTCAAACTCTTGCGTTGTTGTTGACGGCCTTCTATATTGTTGTTGCTGCTGCTGCTTCTACTGCTGCTGACTCTCTTGTCTGATAGGCAGGAACTCACCAGGACTTGAAGCTCCAGTACCGGCCGGCATCACCGGGATACTGCAAAACGGGTTGTAGGATATCAAAGGACTGGCCAGCTGACTCGGGATCGTGTTTAGGAATCCAATCCTAATGTCGGGCATGATGGATTGCCTCAGTAAATAAGCAGGGCCTAGTCCACTTGACCGAGGTTGGATGCGATTGAACCTGGGCATAGAAGAGCCAGAACATACAATGTTTTGCACGCCAGGAAACAGATAGACAATTTGAGGTAGTTCTCGAGGTGGCTCGGGAACCGTGAATCGGCTCACAAAGGAGTCAAAGGTATCGCTTGTGTTGACGGCTGTCGTGTGCAGCAAGCGTGAGCGCCAAGTGCAAGCAACAGCAACAGCGACAGCAGCCATAGAACCTGGGATGGATGTGGATGTATCAATCAGTCATGCGACGTCTCACCGGTGTAGGCCAGCCAGCCATTGTAGTCCAAAGGCAGGCCATCATCACGGGTGCGGGGCTGTTGGTCCAACGAGCCTGTGCTCTCGTTGGAAGCTGAACAGGCAGGAAGCGATCGAGGCAACGACCACGACGAATGCGCAACGCGCAGTTCGCCACCAGCCCCACGCTCAATACGAGCCCCCGATGGCACCCGATGCACGCACTGCGCCGGCCGTGGGCCCTGACCAGGCGTAGGCACCATGGCCCCCATCACCAGGCTTAGCCCAAGCACCAGCACCAACCCCGATCCCATCATCCTCATCTTGCTGGTCATTAAAATCTGACAGTTTTCTGCTGACATCTGACATTGCTTCAACGCTTCTTCTTGACAACTCACTGTTGTTGTTGTTGTTGGGACTCTAACCTTTCGTGGTGTGTGTGTTGCTGTCATCGCTTTCAACTGAATTTTTTTTTTCTTTTTTTTCCTTTTTTTTGGGCTTTTCGAGCATTTCCTCAACTACACCGAGGGTCGACAGGGACAGTCCTGCCTTGATCGCATTGGGGAGAGACGGCTGCGTCTGTGTGTCTGTGTGTGTGTATGCACAGTTGCTTGGACCATTGAAGATGGCATCGTCTGGGCGCCGCGTGCCTTCGCAGTCCATCAAGCCGCTGGACCGCCGTGTCCCCCGCAATCCCAAGTTTGATCACGTCAAATCCAAGACCGATTCGGGCGCTTCGCTGAACAAGGCCAAAGAACGGGCTGACTACATTTCAACGCGTACGTCGCCTGTTCTGGTGCCTCTGCGGCCCCGCTTTTCCTTTGTTGTCTCGTCCTGCTCAGACCCCACCGTTCCTGGTCGATGAATTGACCCTTGAATGGCATCGCTAGGCTTCAAGTATCGGCCCGATGAGATTTTTCGCCGCATCAAAGTGAATACGTTTGTCCAACTGGTATGTCTTGGCCCACGCACTCGCTTCGTTTGCCTTGGTCGCTCAACGTGCTTGAGAGACGTCTCAATCGGCCTCCATTCTATCTGGGCAGATGCTTGAAGTGGCAGACCAGGACGGGCTCTCGGGCCTCGAGGAGGACCAGCTCGACGAAGCTGCCACCATGGCTGACCCCGGTGCTGGAGCGCCCTGGGCCGGCGCCGGTGCTACGTATGGAGCAGGCTCAGTCGCAACGAACTATAGCACTGCCTCCTCTTTTGCCAGGTAAGCGCGGCTGCCTTGCTTCCTTTTGGTGCCTTGGTGTGGCCACAGCATGTGCAAGTCGAGACTGGAAAGCGCATGCAGCACACACACACACACACACACACCGCTCGTTTGCAACGCTACACCTGCTTATATTCCCGTGTTGCAGCTTTGCGACAGGCATAGGCGAACGAGACACGCAGCCCAAAATGCAGCGCGCGCCAGTGGACACGTCCTCCCCGTACCTCCTCGTTGATGTTCGAGACGTTGATGACTATGCCAAGTGCCACATCCTCTCAGGTACGCCACGAGTTGATTGCCCTGCGCGTAGTTTGCGCCGAAGCCTTCCTACGCTCTCACGATTTGGACCTGCCCCTTGATTCTACTCATGCAACGATGCTTCTTCGTAGCCAAATCGTTTCCCCACACACGTCTCTCGCGGGCGACCAATTTTTTAACCCGAGAAATGAACGCCTACGTGAACAAGGTGTGTCGGCAGTGCTCTGGCAGCGCATACAACTGACAATTGCGTCTACACCTCACGAATGGGCCGGGCTGCAACATGTGATCAGGAAGGGCGCATCATCGTGGTGTATGATGAAGACGAGACTTTGAGCTGCCACGCAGCAACTGTTCTTGTACAACGCGGTGTAGAGAACCTCTTCATGCTCTCTGGCGGTACGTAGCGGCCAAAATCCTGACGTCTCTGTTATTCCCGGATGAGATCAACCTCATGTCAACAATTTCCTTTTATTTTTTATTTCATTTTTTTTTTAAACACGCTGGGGTTGAACTAGGATTGCGTGTCTTGATTGAGAAGTATCCCGACGGCATGGTTGTCGGCGAGGTGCCACCTCACCTGCGCCTCAAGGGCCACGCCCATGCAGCCGTCCCGGTGGCGGCACCCTTGACCATGGATAACCTCGAGGTGGTTCGTTCTCGGCTTGAAAGTAATCTGCTGCAGGACGATGCATCGAGTACCGCTAGCTCCACACGCTCGAGCCGCGCACCCTCGCGAACGGCGACCCCGCGAACGGGAGGTGGCGTCGGTGCGAGAACGATGGGTGCCAGTAAGCCCGGCACGGCTCGGTCAACGGCCACCGCTGCTTCACGCACCTGGCGGTGATATGGCCCACAGCCATGGCCTAGGTCGCCTCTTCTCCTTGTGAACTAGATGCGCCGGGACACGGGTGCGCAATTGCGTCACTGCAACACCTCGTCCAGTTTTTCCTTTTCTTTCCTATTCTTCTCCCAAACAGTTAATTGAAGGCTCTATCCGGTCTTCGGTAGCTCGTGGTTCCGTAGCACATTGACTGAGATTGATTTTTGGCTTGCGCCAAGATCAACAGATGAGCACTGAAAGGAGAGTCACGAGTGATCAATTGCAGATCTAATCGCGCCAGCTCAGAGAAATGGACCCATTCACAGTGGGCGAAGACCGCGATGCGGGAGAACCACTCATGCCCCAAAAAAACATGGTGGCTCATGCAAGAAAAAACGAGGGGGTAGAAACAACTCGTGGAGCAATCTACATGGCAAACCTGTGACGAAAACGAAAACGACAACACGAAAAAAAAAGGAAAGTTGTGGTCACAAGAGTATGTGGAGAGCAGGCACGACGGCTGAGAAGTCAGACGTTTACTTCTTGGGCGCACCACCGCTGCTGCCCATGCCAAAGACGGTCTTGAAGGTGTCGTAGATCCACCACTGAAGACCGGTGAGGGTACCGATCATGAGGATACGGGTGGTCAGACCCTTGGTGGCCAGGTTAGCATAGCCGAACTCGGAGGCAATCTGGCCGAAGCCCTTGCCCTTGTTCTCAGACTTGCCAAGGAGGGACACGAGAGTATCAGCGGGGTGGGAGACAATGGCGCAAATGACACCAGCAGTGTAACCGGAGAGGAAAGTGACACCGAGCTGCTCGCCCTTGGAGTAGGTCTCACGGGGGCGGGTGAAGACGTGGGCGTAGAAGAGCTCAACAACCTTCTCGAAGAAGTAGAACTTGGCCATGGTGTAAGGGATCTGACGGCTCCAGAGGGGCACAAGGGAACCAAAGGGGAAGCGAGTGTCGGCAGCGTTGGCCTGCATGGTCGAGACGGCGGGGCCGAGGGCAGTGGGGAAGGTGCCGTGGGGGGAGGTCTGGACCTTGACCTTGACCATCTCCATGGGGCAGAGGGCGATATCGGCAAAGAACTCGGCCGAGGCAGAGGCGGCGAGCCAGAGCATGCCACGGTACTCGATCGACTTCTCCTCGCCGACAATGTTGGCGTAGAAATCTTTGAAGATCTCGTAGAAGCCAAACTTGCAGAAGCCCTGCAGGCTGTAGCCAATGAGAGTGGGAGCCCAGCCCTTGAAAAGGGCACCAGCACCCTCCTCAGCAGCGATGGTCTTCATGCCGCTGACCAGACCGCCGTACTTGCCGGGGTTGATCTGCATGTTGCACTTGGTCACGTCCAGAGGGGTGATAGCAGTGTGGGTCAGGCCGCACGACAGAACACCGGCAATCATGCACTTGAAGTAGTACGCGTTGTCGTGGGGGATGGCGTGTGAGTAGCGCGCGTCCCACTTGCCCTCTGTGATTCAAAACCGGGTGATTTGAATGAGTTCAGGGGATGGCAGAAATAGCGTTGCTGCTGCGCTCTTTTCCGTCACTGCCATCAATGACAAAGAACGAACCGACAGGGGCCGCGGCAATGGCGCGACGAGGCTGGGCCTCGCCCTGGTTGGCCGAAGCCACCAGCGGCTGGGTGAACTGCTTGAACATCTACACATCGTTCAAGCGCACGCACCAAAGCATCGCATGTCAAGAGTGATGAGTTGATGAGAAAGAAACGGTTGATAAAACACCAAGGGCAGGCATGTTGAATCTGGTCCTCGATGAGACCACACGTGACACGACCCAAGAGATGGCAAACAAGACACAGAGAGAGAGAGAGAGAGCCGCAGGAGCAGCTGGGTAACCACGAGCCCAAGAGCATCCAGCAGTCACCGGCTGAGGCAAGTTGGCGCGTGCGTGCACCCTCGGCTTCTCTCCCAGACAACCAACGGCAGACAGGGTTGGATGGCCCCTGACCAATGCCCCCTAAGCCCAGTGATGGCGCCCGAGAGAGCACGCAACAAAGAAGAAAAGGAAGACGCAAACAAGCACCAAGCAGTCGTGGCCTACAAGACCAGAGGACAGGGCGAGCAAGACCACAGCCCGAGAGCGCAAAGAGGAGAGAGAGCGCGCGCCTGAGCCGGGCAGCAGCCAGCGACGGCGAGAGCACCAACCGTTGTGAGGAAGGTGCGGCAAAAGGGAAATGGAGGCGGTCGTGTCGAGCCCCTATCAACCAACCGCTACAGCCCTTCTGTCTATCTCTCTCTCTGTCTCTGTGTGCCACTGACTTCTTTTGTCTTCTCTTTGAGCTGGTGTTACTCTTTTGTTCTGGGCCTGCACCACGTGTATTACATGCCCTTGCGTGCCCCTTCGGAGTTTTGACACTCACACCTTCTGTGCAAAAAGGAAGGGTGTGTGTGTGAGTCTCGTCTTCTCTCTCTACACAAAAGAAAGGAAGAACGTGACTGCTGCTTGTATTTTCTGTATCAGTTTCGGCATCGTTTTTCAACACAAATCTTTTCCTGCCCGAGGATTGCCTCATCCGCTACCAAGCGTTAACCCACTTTCCGTCCACCGTCCCAAGTGTGTTGGATGTCACACTACCGTAGATGTAATTGTCAGCACGGTACAACCAGATCGGTCCGCCGCCCCCCGATGACTGCCGCTGCCGCCGCCGCTGATCTGATGGGAGAGGAAGGTGAGGGAGGTGGAGGAAGAAGAAGAGGCGGTAGCCAGATGCGCTGCAAAGACCGTATTGACGGCCTTGCCATCGATCGTCTCTCGTCGTTGAGAGCATCTGCTTTGTTTCCCGCAGTCACGGAAACCATTCTTGTTCTTTGTTTTGGTGTGAGTGTATTTCGCGCCACCAGCTCACGATGGCATGGACTCTCACGGGGCTGATAGGAAACAGCTCGCTGTGAACTCGTAAGATCCGCGGACGAGACCTTATCCGCGTGTCTGCAGCAAGCAATGCGCCTCCTCGCCGTCCCGCTGTGGATCCTCCAGTGGGGTCTTGCCGTTCAACGCCACCTGCATCGCACCTCCCATTCTTCGGCCCCCAATACTGTTGCCGGTCGGGCGGCTAGCCAGCAATCTGTGCATTAACTCAAAAGCATCATTCCTGCGAGCTCTGCCGCGAAACGCTGCCTTGTCACCAAAGGCCCACGTCCGGCCGCAGCCATGCAGCCTTGGCACTTGGGAGCTCGACCAGTGCGGCACCACTGGCATGTCTTAACACGATGGGCCTCCTCCAAAGCACTGGCCCCAGCCACCCAACTGCTCCAGCATCACCTTCCCCAAGATGGTTACGCTGCGGCTGCTTCCCCCCTGTATCAGACGGCTACCTTTGTCAACCTCAACCATGCAGATGCTCTCTATGACTACACCCGCTCTGGCAACCCGACTCGGCACCTGGTGGAGCAAGCCGTTGCACAGCTGGAGGGCGCAGACCGCGCCTTTGCCTTCACTTCTGGCATGGCTGCCCTCACGGCCGTCCTCCGTACCGTAAGCCAACCGGGCAGCCACGTCATTGCCAGCGCAGACCTCTATGGAGGCACCCACCGGCTCCTTCGACACGCCGCTCGACATGCTGGACTGACCGTGGACTTTGTCGACCTGACTCAGATCGATGCCGTGGCCAGTGCTTTTCGCCCCGACACCACAGCCGTCTTTGCCGAGTCCCCGACAAACCCGCTCATGCAAGTCGTTGACCTGCAAGCCCTGGCTGACCTGTGCCGGGCTCGCAACGTGCGCCTCTGCGTTGACAATTCCTTGCTGAGCCCCGTCCTGATGCAGCCGCACAACTTGGGTGCAGACCTGGTCGTCAATTCAGCCACCAAGTTTCTCAATGGCCACTCCGACACCATGGCGGGTTTTGTGTCCGCGCGAGACCCAGCCCTCTGTGAGCGCCTTGCATTCGTCCAGAACGCTGAGGGAGCGGGCCTGGCACCCTTTGATGCCTGGCTCGTCCAGCGAGGTCTCAAGACGCTCTTCCAGCGCCAGCAGCTGGCCCAAGCCAATGCCACGGTTTTGGCCCGTTTCCTTCGTGGCCACCCTCTTGTCGAGCAGGTTCATTACTTGGACCGTGCTGACGTGCACCACTCCCCGCAAGCGCAGACTCATTTTAACCAAGCCAGCGGTGGTGGTGCCGTGCTAAGCTTTCTGCCTCGTGGGCCTGACGCGACAGCCATTGCCCGGCGACTCCTTGACGCCGTCCGCCTCTTCAAGATCTCAGTCAGCTTTGGATCTGTCCACTCACAACTGGAGATGCCAGCCCTCCATTCACATGCCTCCATCCCCGAGGAGGAACGGCACCTCCCCGCCGCCCTCTTGCGCGTCAGCGTGGGAACCGAAGACGTGGTATGTCTCCCATCAACTCTCGTTTCTTTTGCTCGCTTTTTTTTTTCCTTGCCTGATTGGCCTTTATTGATCCACAATGGGCGTGCTACCTCTTTTTCGCACTACGGTGCTGCCGCCCTCGCTTTTCCCCCGCGTTGCCTCTGCCCCTCATTGATTGGCATGGACGCATACCGTTGGCAGAATGATCTGATGGCTGACATGGATCAAGCGTTGACCCGAGCCGCGCAGCCGAGCCCGCCAAAGCTCCAAGCTTACCCCTTGGGTTCTCCTTTGCCCGCCAACGAACCAGAGCTGGCTTGCACAGCCTCCATGCCGCACTGGCAAAACGTCATTGACTATGAAGAAGGGGATCCCCGCGTCGTCGAGGCCCTTCACTGTGGCTACCCACGTTTCGTTTACCCGCCCGCCGTCCGTCGCCTCATCACTGCCCTTGGTGCTCGCTACGCGGGTCCACAACAAACAGTGCTTCCGTGCCCCTCCCTCCACACAGCCCTGCGGGTCCAACAGCACTTGCTTGCCGCTGGGATCCCACCGCAGGCCTTGTCCATTCAGGACGTGGGTTTTGAAGGCGTGGCCGCCGTTGTCATGCCCGACACGGCTGCAGCTGCGGCCCGTACCTACTGGCAGCACATGGGTGAGATTGTTTCGGCTCGGCTGGCGCAACGAGTGCTTGGCCACCTCGATGGCGGGCGGGCGTGGGATCCTTTACCCACCAGCCCGGCCACTGATCCCAGCCATCACTTGCGGCGTCACATTGCCGCTTTGAGCCAGCAGGATCCCGACCACATTCAACTCTTCTCCACGGGTATGGGTGCCGTCACCGCTTGTACCCGCATGCTGCGGCGAGCAGCTGCTGGTACCAACCGTGCAGCAGCCAAAGCTGTTGTCCTGGGCTTTCCCTACGTTGATACGCTCAAGCAGCTGCAGCACCCTCACCTTGGCCCGGGGGCGCATTTTCTACCCGGCGGCGACCTTGACCAACTACGCGCCTTGGCAGCCCGCGAGCCCCTGCTGGCCATTTATGTGGAAACACCCTCCAATCCACTCCTGCGCACGGTGGATATGGATGCACTCCGGGCCATCGCCGACGCGGCTGAAGTTCCAGTGGTGGTGGACGACAGCATCGCCAACTACTGCAACGTCGACGTGTTGACGCCCGGCTTGGCCGACGTGCAAGTATCCTCCTTGACCAAGTCCTTCAGTGGTCGTGGTAACGTCATGGGTGGAGCCATGATTTTGAACCCTCGCTCGGCGCACTTTTCCGTTTTGCAATACCATGCCAACTGCAGCCCCGAACCAGGCCTCTACCGCGCAGACGCAGAAGCTCTCTTGCACAACAGCGTTAACCTAGAGGCCCGCACGGCCCGGACCAACGCCAGTGCTGAGCGCCTGGCCGACTTTCTGATCGACCACCCAGCCGTGGCCGCGGTCCACTACCCCAAGTTTGTCACACCCGAATTCTACGAGCGCATTCGTCGGCCCACTGCCACCGGCTATGGTGGGCTCATGTCCATTGACCTGCGCCAGCCGGCGCGCGCTGCTGCCGTGCATGACGCCCTGGTCTTGCCCAAGGGACCCGGCTTTGGCACCAACTTTTCACTTTTATGCCCCTACACGCTCTTGGCTCACTACTACGAGCTGGACTTTGCGCGCACCCACGGTGTAGAAAAATCGCTGCTGCGCATGTGGGTGGGCCTTGAGGATCCTGACCAGCTCATTGACACCTGGGCCCACGCTTTGACCAAAGCCGACTAAGTTCCCCTTCGGACACGCGACCGACACGTCTTGAGTATAGTCAGTTCAAAAGTGGTGATGATGTCTGGAGCGCTGCAATAAAAGTCCAGAAATCAGACACGCGTGGACGCTCATGTCAGAACAGCTTGGTCTGGCCAATCAAATCCATGGTTTAAATTTTTTTCACATCAAAGCCAGGATAAAATAAGAACACGAATGTGGGCAAAAAGGGCATGAAGCAGCAGCACCTTCTGACTGCCACTGCTTTTATGCGTCGCACGCCTCGAAAGTGCTACTCATCGCAGAGAGCGCTGCGCAGGCGGGCTCGCCAGTGGTCATTAAAGCCAATTTTATCACAGTACGCCTCGATGCCATCGTACTCCTGGTCCAGGTGGTCAAGCGTCTGCCGCATGACCTCAGTGGGAGCAAGACACCACGTATCCGCATTCTGCACAACCGACACGGACGAGGTGGCTCAGCACATGTAAAGCAAAAAGGCGGGCGGGGTCGAGGATTGGGTTCAATGGGAGGTTCGTTGATCTTCACATACCAGCTGGGGCACCTTGGCAAAGTGAGCGCGCCCTTGCTCACTGGAGCCAAAACGCTCGGAATAATGGTAATCCATGATAATGCTCTCGCGAGGCACTTTCAAAATGGAAAGCACGAGTGCCACTAGCAGACCTGCATTGCGGGGAAGGGGGTGGGTTACCACATGTGAGGCCTGCGTGCGATTGACACCGTCTGCAGACAGGTGGCTGTTGTCGTCACGCACCGGTCCGATCCTTTCCGTGAAAGCAGTGGACCAACACGGGATGGTGGGCTTGCGTGGCCACAATTTTCAGGCCTCGGCAGAGCATCTGGCACACCCGAGCAAGCAAACAACAACCACATGAGTAAGTCATCGGCTCGACGTTCACGGGTCAGTCACAGACTGCACAAACGTACGTGGCGCGAATATTTGAGAATGATGCGATTAAGACCGATGAGGCCCATGTCGTTGAACTTGGTGATCATGTGATTCTTGGCCTCTTCCTTGTATTCCGAATTGACGGCAAGGCCCAAGGTATACTTAGCGCCAACGTAAAGCTTATCATACCACGTCACTTCGGAAAGCAGGGCTCGGGTCATGACCGAGCGCTCGGCGAGCGGCAAAAAGTATTTGAGACGAGCCTTGGTGCCAAACTCGTTTTGTACTCGCATGGCTTCGTTGTGCACCTGCTGCGGTGACTCTGCACGCGTGCGTTCATCCAGATCGTGGCACAGCTGGAGGTCAACTTCTTCAATGTCATCTGGACTGTCGGTAGGGGAAGAAGGAGAAGACTCACGTGAGGCAGCCCAGTCACCGTGGGCCAGCTCTTCGATGGGCTGTCGGGCCTCGGGTGTGTGGTGATATGTGGCACGGACCACGCGTGCCTGCTCCGCGGGCGTCTCTTGGTCCAATACAGGGCCTGAGGGGTCGGCACTGGACTCGACATCCTCGTGTCCGTGGGACTTGGAGCCATGGCGAAGGTGACGCAGGTGACGCAGGTGGGGCAGATGATGATGGTGCTCATGCGGCTTGTCCATGGGCGCCACCTCTAGGCCCTCGAGATGAGCTTGGAAAGTCTGGGGGTCGTCCAAGGCCTCGAGGCGGTCCACGATAACCTCGTGAGCTTGGGGCGCAATGCCGAAGCAATGCTGGACGAGGCGGTCTCCGGGGTCATGTTCGGCCTCGCTGCGATCACGCAAGTCGATGATGGTTTTGACGCCCAGTTGCTCGAGCAGCACCACAACGTCTTCCGAGGTGAGCGTGCTGGGGGTGGCGCTGCGATAGAAACGATGAGGTTTGATGCGGGTGTCCAAGACGGAGAGGTCTCGGAAATTGACAAAGGTGGCAAAGGGATCTTGAGCCTCGACTCGGCGTTTGTACTCTTCAAAGTCAGCCATGTTGATGGGATGGCGAAGCAGTGCGTTCGGCAATGGGATAGGTAGGTGGTCCAAGAGGGACAAGAGGGATTCGGGGGCGGAGCGTTGCAAGCCTCGCGTAAGACTGCACCAGCGTAGAAACGAGGTCATACACAACCTGTGGTCCGCCGGAGGAGCGCGGGCGCAAATCTCTAGCGTCAGTGCTCAAAACGAGACCAAAAGCAAGCGTAACCTAAGGGGGTTGCAAAGATCAAGGTGACCGGGTTTGGGAAGAAATTGCTTGTGAAATGGACCAACAGCGACGTCGGCAGAATGCGCGGGTCGATGGCAAGGTGCCCACTCGCGCGGAGCCGAGCTTGGAGTTGCAGGCCCTCAATCACACCGCGACGCAGAGACCAACGACAGGCCCTAGGGAAGAAAATCCTGGACGCAGACTGCCTCTCTTCCCCCCCCCCCCCCCCTCTATTGCGGCCCTAACACCGGCCCAACCGCAATGGCGATCACGACACTGCCACACACACACACACACACACACATACCGGCTGCTCCTGCATGGAGCCCTCAAAAAGTGTGTGTGTGTGTGTGTGTGTGTGTGTGTGTGTGTGTGACATCATGCGTAATCAAGGTCATGATGTCCAGTTCTCGAAAGCAGTGAAATAGTATAATTTAAATTTATAAACCCCCTGTTCTTTGACATGACAGATTACCAGCTGTCAGCCCCACATGACCACAGAGGAAGAGAGAGAGAGAGAGAGAGAGAGAGAGAGAGAGAGAGAGAGAGAGAGAGAGAGAGAGAGAGAGAGAGAGAGAGAGAGAGAGAGAGAGAGAGCACGTTTACCTTTTATTTGTTGTCGGGCAGGCAGACAGACGGTACGAGCTGGGCTGGGTGTCGCCCCTCATGTAGCTTGAGTGTGGCGAGCTACTTTCCTGTGGCTTTGGAGTTTGGCAGGGTGGATGATCTCACGTTCTTCGGCATATTTTTCTGATTCCTGCAGGCTTGGATTAAAGGCTGTCATGGCGGCCAAGGCACTTGTCAACGCGCTCGCACGGACACTCGTGTCCCCGGTAAATGCGGCGGCGGCGGCAGGCACCAGTCGGGGCCTGGAGGGCTGGCGCCTGGCTGCCCTCATGGCTCTCGGCCGTATGCCCGGCACCTGGACGACGCCCACCTCAGGCCACGCCGATAACCTCAACCTGGCTCTTGATGGCCTCACCCTTGCGCCCAGCAATGGAGAACACCGCCTCGGTGACCCCATCTTCGAGGATGATGGCCTCGTGCTCATGGCGGTGCCCAAGCGCCGTACGACCCACTCAAAGAAGCGCATGCGCATGACTCACAAGTATTTGGACAACAAACTTCATATTCAACGCTGCTCAGCGTGCGGCAATCCCAAATTGCGACACCACCTCTGCCCCCATTGCCTGGAACAGGTGCGCCAGCTATCCAAGTTGGAGCGCAAGGCTGCGGCAGATAGTGCTAGTGAAGAAGTCTCTCGCGCGTCACCTTGAACACAGGCTACAAGCAAAGCCGCCATACCTTCCCCCCTGACCCCATGCCTGCATTATCGCCGAGTGCTGACGCGCTGCACCGATGGGTTTGTCTTTGCGCAAGCGAGAATCGCTGCCTCGCCCTACACTCCCACCCTAGCCCCCCGTCACCACACACGCTTGCCCAGACCTCTGTCAGCCTTGTGATCAGTCCGAGTCCCCGACATGACAATTGTATTTTTTTATCACAAAGAGTACTCCCCCCCATTTTTTTTAATCACTCGCTCCTCATCTCCATCGCCGACGAGGGCATTGCATCTGTGCTAAGTGAGGAAGACATCAGGACGCACAAGACACAGAGCTGTAGCAATATTAGCAATCGGTTGCCATTGACACATTCTGAATTCTCAATTTTCGTAGCGACTCAACAAGAGGTCGGGCCAGCCCGCGATGGCTTTCGCATGCTGACAAACATGACCCCAACCAAAGCCGAGCTACTCTTTGTCATGCTTGCGGCCACGACCGCGGCCTCGTTTCGTGCGACCTCGCCCACGACCACGACCGCGAACGGCTGGCGTGGCCACCCGCTCCTGAGCAGCTGTTGCTGTCGAACCTGCCGCTGGAGGCTGCAATAGTCGAGAAAAAAAAAAAAAAAAGTAAAAGCATAATGAGTTACAACAACGCACACACTTCTCGGCCGTTTCCAAACACAAATTTGGCTGGAAGGATCCAACACACACACACACACACACACACACACACACACACACACACACACACACACACACACACACTGCGACAGATGATGCTCTTGTTCAAAAACTGGCAAAGGGAATAAAACAAAAAAGCTACTTGGACATGGCGCATACCGTGGAAGGCGTGGGTGCGGTGATCTTTGTAATTGCAGGTCGAGCTTCCTCGCCAGACTTGGCGCGCTTGGCCGCAGTCGAAGATGCTTCTTCAGCTTGACCTTGCGCAGCCATGCGTTGGGCCTGCGCAGCCGCTAGTTTGGCCTTGAGGGCAGCCATCTTGTCCGCAGGCTGTGCTCCACTACCCGTGGCCGGCTCGGGTACACTCGCAGTCGGCTCGGGCACGACAGCTGGCTCCTCAAGCTCGGGGTCTCCTGCCAGAGTATCCTCATCCATGCCCAGCTCCTCTTCGCCTTCGTCGTCCTCGCCAGCAGCGTCGTCGTCCTCTTGGCCGTCGTCCTCGCCTTCATCCACAATTTCGCCTTCCTCGCCAACCTCGTCCTCAAAGCCTGAAACAAAGACACCACGGGGAAAGGCAACAGCAATGTCAGATAACAGATATTGGGCGCCCGTGTCCGCACCTGCCCTCACCGATCAGCAGCCTCGTGTCCACGGAACCAAACATACCGTCCTGCGTTTCTCCCGCTTCCTCCAGACGAAACTCGCTTGGGTCTTGGGCTGCGTCCGTCGTCAAAGCCTCTTCATCAGCGTCGGCATCACCCTCTGCCACGGTTTCAGGGTCAGCCTCCTGCTCAACCTGAATGTCTGCCTCCACGACTGAATCAGCACCCGCATCGGGCTCCGCCTCGGCATCAACCTCCGCAGCTCCTTCCAGATCCGCCTCGGCTTCAGCTCCCGCGTCTGGCTGGTCAACCTCTTCACCGACATGAATAGCCTCATCGGCGTCGGTCCCCGCGGTGGTCACGCCCATGGCAGCGTCGGAAGCCTCGGTCTCGGCATCGGCCTCGCCTTCAGCTTCGCCGGCAAGTTCGTCAGCACCTGTCTCAATGGTCTCATCGTCTGCAACATGTTGAGCATCGGTCTCGTCCTCGGCGTCCTTCGGTTCCATTGACTCGGCAGTGGTCTGGTCTTTGCTCTGAGGCACGTTTTCGGTCCCAACAGAAGCTGCGTTCTCAGCAGGTTCCTGGGTTACATCCGTTTCAGCCTCGGCCTCTGGCTCAGCCTCAGCCTCAGCCTCGGCCCCGGCTTCAACCTCGCCGCCACCGTCAATCTCACCCTCAACATCGGCAGCAGCATCCATGGCAGTTACCGCTGGTGGGGCTGTGTCTGTCGGCGCCGTCGCTGCTGCCGCTGGCTGCACAGCAGCTGCGGCGTCGGAAGGTGTACCACCGGCCTTGGGTGCGCTCTCAGGAGCAGAGAGGGTGCTCGCAGTTTGCTCGGCAGTTTGATCGGAAGCCACAGTCATGGCCTTCCCACGCTTGGACTGAGGCGAGCCCGTCTCTGTCTCAGAGAGCGCAGAGGCACGTTTGAGACCTTCCGATGCAACTGGAGTCTTGGGGGTCGATGCCAGCTCGACGCGTGGCGGTGCTCCGGCGGTGGAGGCCCGCTTACTGCCTGTGACAGCTGGCGAAGCAGTCGATGTTGGAGTACTGGCCGGCGTGGTAGACGCGCGCTTTGCCGTTGTCTGTCGCAACTTGAGCAACTGCTCTCGCAGCTTCCTGCAACCCACATTCATAAATGAGACACCACGCTTTCCTGGGCCCCTTGATCCCACCATACTTATTCCTCAAACACATGCACGCGCCCAACGTTGGCCCCACAAAGCCTCATGAAACATACGTGTGCGCCTGGGTCTTCTCGGCAATGATCTTGTCCTTGTCGGCCAGCTCCGAGCGGAGTTTAGTCATCTGCTCTGTGAGAGAAGTGCTGTTCTTCTCTGCCTGTTGATAACGTTCTTTGCTCTTGGTGAGGAAGCTTTTGAACTTGTCAATTTGTCCCTTGAGCCTTTGAACCTCCAAGGTCAGAGATTCGTTGGCGCTGGTGAGTTCAGCGATCTTGGCTGTTGCCTCATCCAGCTTCTTTTGCAAGGCAGAAACCTCTGCCGGATCAGCCGTGGCCTGGCCCTGTGCAAATACGAATAAGCATAGACAGACCCAGTGAGGAGCAGGAGCGCTCCGAAGCGCCTGATCGGGGCGCGCAAAGCGCAAAAAGAGGGGGACTTGCCCCACCAAGCCAGAATACAGACCGATTTGAGCTTTTCGTTTTCGGCGCGCAAATTGCGTCCAATGCTGGCTAGCTTCGAGCGAGCCGTCACGTGCTCCTGGTTCTTGGTGCGCAAGGTCGCCATCTCACTTTGAGCCGTTTGCAGTTCCTGCTGAACCTTGGCCAACTCGGCCTGCACCTTCTTGGCTTCGGCTTGAGACTTTTTCAACTACAAGACCAAGGCACGGCAGCGGCCAGAAATCGGCAGGGGTGAGAGCCATCAAGGACCACCCGGTACCAAAGGAAAGGAGAGAGAAGAGAACAAAATAAACACACAAGCAAGGGAAGCAATATCGAATTGGCCCAAGCCCGCACGTACGGTCTCTTGGTGCTCCTGGACTTCGCTGCCCAGCAGTTCCTTGGCTGACTCCCACTGCTCGCGCTCCTCCCGGAGACGGTTCAGCTCGTCCAAGTCGACATTCCCGTAGAGATCCATCAGTTGCTGTGCGCGTTGACGCCAGCGCGTGACTTCATTTTGTAGAGAGGTCTTATCGGTCACCAGAGTGCTGTTGCGTTGGCTGAGTTCAGTGTTGTTGGCCTTGAGAGGTTCGAGTTGGTCCT